AGTGACCTAATACGATATATATGGGGTCAGTAAATTCCATATGGGGATTCGAGCTTCGCTCTCACCCCATATGGAATTTACTGACCCCATATATATCGTATTAGGTCACTAACACACCGTGTAACTAATAATATATACGGGTAGGGTCAATTTCATATAGGGTAAGATCCCCCTATATGGAATTACTGACTATCTTTACATTTAAAATTTAGACTGTTGGTCTATTAAAATGATCAATATAAAGATATGAAGATTGGGTATGATTGCCAATAAGACAACTCTCCACAAGCGGCCATAGCACAGAAATTAACAGCCATTAGGTCACCGTACGGCCTATGGAGAACTTGCAGTTACTGACAGCTAGTTCAAAACCAATAACAACTAACAAAAAAAAATCATGCATCTAAGACTAAAATATCAATCAGTTTACATCCAACCTCCAATAGATTTAGTGTAAAGACGTCGTCAACAGTCATAGAAAAACATGACCTTGTGCAATGCCAAGATACAGGTGTCGACAGATTATAGAGCCATGAATGTGCATATGTAAATAAAAATAATATTTATTTTGGTTTTAATTTACTGATAACAAAATCAATATTAATACCTCATGTGCATGTATTGCTTTGGTATTAATAAATTATTTCTGTGCAACATACAAAGATGTGCAAGCGGTTTCCTTCATGACATGATCGTTTGCTATATAAAAATAGGAAGATGTGGTATAATTGTCAATGAGACAACTCTCCACCATGCAGAGACCAAATGACGTAGGAGTTAACGACTATAGGTCCCCGTACGGCCTGCAAAAATGAGATAAACCATTACCTATACTAGTTGGCTTAAAATTTAAATGCGTTTTTTTTTTTTCTAATTTTCTTTCTTTCCATAATATATATATATATATTATGGAAAGCAATTTGTTTTGCATGCACACGTATAAAAATTGCGGTTTTTGTCCAACGCAATCATAGGTTTGAACGTTGTTTTCAATTTAGACTTTCTTATATATATATCTCGATTTGTTGTTATATATATATAATTCGTCTAAACAACAGCCCACAATGTTAGATCTGTAAATTTGCGGAAGCAATTTTTTTGTTCTTCCCTGGCTGGGATTCGAACTCATGCTACTGAGATATCGTGGCACCAAATCGCTTTGCTCTATGCCCGACGCGCTAGACCACTCGACCACCTAGGCTCTATATATATATATATGCATTCTTTATTGGAGATCGTGTAAAAGGAGAGATGCCAAATAAACAGAATTACAGTATGAATGGGATTATAGTGGGGTTTAAAACGCATCCTACAATTGAACAGCGTACATGTATAGAGTGCATTAGCTTGAATACTTCCTCTTCATAAAAGTGAGTTCAATAGATATAAGAAGATGTGGTATGAGTGCCAATGAGACAATTCTCCATCTAAGTCACTATTTGTAAAAGTAAACCATTATAGGTCAAAGTACAACGTTATTTGACATTATTTGATAATAGACTGAGTTATCCATAAGAAAATTCCCATTCCAGCGGATTTAAGATATACAAACAGAACCATTGTAAAATCATATGATGCAATGAAAGTATAGTCGGACGAAAAACATTGAGACAAGAAGTTGTGACCGATATTTCGTCACCAACCTGACCATATTACGATTTTGACCAGATCTTTTCTTTGACGTCAAAATGTCTGACTCGACATTATGTTGAAAGGTATAAAGTCCCTTCCAGGTTAGCTTGTAAAACAAGACAAATCAATTTGTTCAAGAAAACCACAAAACGACAATGAGATCGATAAATCGATAAATGTTACACAGTAGCAGATTTCTAATTATGAAAATGATTGATCGTTGTTTGCTTTACGTCCAGTGACAAACATCTCATGCATCTTCAGGTCGAGATCAAATTAACAATAAATTCAATAGGTAGGTACTGTAATGGGGGTCGACCGCGTTTAAATGTTGTGAAATTTGGACTGCAGCTAAAAATGAGGCGACATAAGTTAGGTACAGAAGTTTAGCATTGCAACAGGCCACCTACGAACCCCTCAGAGTTGCTGTAAGGGTTTTTAATTTCAGAGAGCGTAGCAGCCTCTACACTACGCATTGAAATTTTTTGCTTTGTTTGCATCAGTATTATAATTAATAATTTCTGTGCCTCATACAAAAATGTACAAGCGGGGTCCCCCATGACATGTAAGTTTTCTATTATAGAAAGAAGAAGCTGTGGTATGATAGCCAGTGAGACAATTTTCCACTATGCTAAGACCAAATGACGCAGAGGTTAACGACTATAGGTCAACGTACGGCCTGCAACAATGAGCAAATCCAATACATAACCCATGCTAGTCGGCTTGAAATTAAGTTGTATTTATTGAATTTTTCTCCTTTCCAATATATAATATATACATTCTTTATTGGAGATCGTTTAAAGGGAGACAAACATTCAACTTGACGCTGAGAATTCGAATAAACAGAATTATACAATATGAATGGGGTTACACTGGATTTAAACTGCATTAGGTCGTGAATACTTGCTCTTCATGAAAGTGAGTTCAAAGTTTAGATTTAAGAAATAATTCTTTCATGCCATGTTCTATGCTCGTTTTAACATGGATAGGCATTATATTTGTCAATATCTTTATATCGAGCGTTATTTCGATTCTAATAGGAAAATTTAGGACTTTCATCTTCTGAAGCGGACCTATAATACATAAAACGTTCGAAAGGCAGTCATTTTGATTTCACGAATTCAAAAAAATATAGAAAATCAACCGTTTCACGATAAAAAATGAACATGTGAACTTACTTTTAGAATGATTTTATTTAATTTCCAATCGAGCGACACCAACACAAATGTCCATTTTGATCTCCGGCGTTGTTTAAAATACAACTGACGTTGTAATTTTAATTTTACGTCAATCACGTGCAGCCTCTGTATTATTCGAATTACAACATGGCTTTGTTTCCAAAGCGAAAGAAGAACGTCAAAATAGAATTGATAATAGACTGAGTTATCCAGATATAAAAACAGAACCATTGTAAAATCATATGATGCAATGAAAGTAATAGTCGCACGTACAAAAATTGAGACAAGAAGTTGTGACCGATATTTTGACAACACCCTGAACAGCTCTTAAGTCCCATATTTCTCGATTTTGATGTCCGCCTAGATATTAAGTCTGTCCCAAGGTATAAAGTCCTTTCCCGGTTAGCTTGTAAAACAAGACAAATTTAATTTGTTCATGAAAACCACACAACTACAATGAGATAAATCAAATACATGTAGCAGATTTCCGGAAAATATTAAACATTTTATAATCATGGATATTAATTGTTGTTTGCTTTACGTCCAGTGGCAAGCATTTCATGCATGTTCAGAAAGAGATCAAATTAACAATAAAATGGATAGGTAGGTCCTGTAATAGAGGTCGACAAGATTGAATGGTGGTAAATAATAAGTAATGCTGCTAGAAAATGAGGCGATATTGGATAAGGACAGATTTAGAAATTTAGAATTGCAACGGGCCATCTTCGAACCCCTCAAAGAATTGTTGTAAGGGTTCTCAACTTTCAGAGATCGTGGTACCCTCTTCACGAGGCATCGAAATTAACGTCCACATTCTGACACGACGTGGCTGCGTATTCGTACAACCCACAGTCAAACGGATGCCCCGCTTAAGCAAGGGTTTTACTCTCGGTCGATAGAAGTCCAAAAATGACCATATTTTTACAGTCACCCTTAGAGTCGGCACAATGAGAAGTCTTTTGAACTTGGTCACTTGCCTTTAAGTTATTCGAAAATTAAAAACTACTCATTTTAGGACTCGCACTAGATGTTTTACAATTTTATGCAAAACACCTGATAATTGAGACAAATCTTATGATCCGCGGACTTTCTATTATCAAGCATAGGAAAAAACTAGCTATTCAATGCATGCTTACATGTAACATTATTATAGTGTTAAAATTGAGAATGGAAACGGGGAATGTGTCAAAGAGACAACAACCAGATCAAAGAGCAGAAAAGAGCCCAATGCCACCAATGGATCTTCAACAAAGCAAGAAAATACCGCACCCGGAGGCGGGCGTCAGCTGGCCCCCAAACAATAATGTATACTAGTTCAGCGAAAATGGACATCACACTAAACTCCGAAACATATAAATGAGCCAAAATTTAAAAAAACATACAAGACTAACAAAGGCCAGAGGTTCCTGACTTGGTGACATTATTATATAATTGTTAATCAACCTATTTTTCTTTGTTATCAACACCAGTGATCCTAAAATGTTTCTGTCAGAAAAAAAAACCCGTAAAAATACACGTAATATTAAAAATATTGTTGATAAGGGAAATCCCATTATCAAACCGATAGATCCATGCAGGAGATGTGAAAGGCTTTAATTAAAGGCTTAAGAAGTGCGATTTCGAAATTAAAGAATTCGTTTTTACTACAGTAAATATAAGGGTAATAACCATTCTTAACACTTTAACCTATTGTGGGTGTGTATTACATAATCCTTTAAATGGACATCAATGTGTATTAAATGGCATTGTATATACTGAACATATGAAAAATGTCACTTTTTTTAGACAATGAAATAACACATATAATGTGTTAGATAAATATAGCGTGTACAATTTATTTAACTGTTTAATGTTTCGGAAGGGACATTTGTAACGAACATAGGACTTTGTTTAACGAAAACTTTACAAGAAAAAAAAAATCATTGTACTTTATTGCAGTGTTCAAAACAGTAATTGTGGAAAGTAATAGTTAATATATTTGTTTATTCATAATACAAGAAAATTTCAACGAAACAGCAAATCAAAGATACAAAAGAAAATATAAAAGACACCTGATTTACCTATTATTGAAAACAAATTTTATCAAACAGAAAGTTGGTGTTGTGTTTTATTGGATTCTCAGTATATTTAAATCCACAAATAATCAATATTGTTCATGTCCTTAATTCTTGACCTGTTCCATGTACATTATAACATGAAAGTAAAAAATCAACATAACATTGCTATGGTCGTTTAAATTGTCGTTCTTTGTATATTTTGGAATTAAAATTTCGACTGTCAGCTAGTGTTCATGTTTGATCGATCTATCTATATATATATATATATATATAGCTAGTAGCAGGTTATGGTAGATAGTTTTTAGTTGGTCTATCGGCCGTGTTGTCCATTTCTGTCTGTGGATTGTGAAAATGCAGGTATGATTTGTAAAATTTATAAATAGATAAGATTAATTGAACATTGAATTACTTTACATTTTTGTTGAGCTAATAATATATGTCTTTGTTTAAAGAATTTCACGCTTCGTATTTTAAATACAACAGGTTGGGGATTATCTCCCGAATGGGTAATAATATTTCTTTTAGAATATACAAGTATTACCCCAAATGGGATATGATTTTACTGAATTTTACTGTGCAAAATTTTGCTCTATTCAAGGTCAAATAATGCAAAGTGCATATGATTACACAAAACTCATCAACTTTGGTTGTCAACTTTTCAGAGGTAGCAATCAATCGAGCATCTTTTTTAATTTTCTAGCTGGAACAGTCGCTGACCAAAAGTTATATTCCATTTTGGCTATTATAACTTAAAAGAGTTAATATGACTTATTTGGAAGATAATTTCCATGAAACATTACATATATACATATATATATATGAACGGTCATCGTAGCGACTACAAATGCAAGCCAGACCTCCCTCTCAGTCGACATTTGAGATCCCCTGGCCACACTAAGGCAGATCTCAATCGACTGACCATTACAATCATTGACCACAACTCTGCTTGGTCTAGGGAGGATAGACTCACTCGGGAAAGATTTTGGATAAGAAAATTAACAACTTTGGCACCAAATGGGATAAATGAAAAGATGTAGTTCTACTCCATGCAGTGCTTCACATTTGGGTTATATTGCTTATTATTACAGTCTCTGTTTCTATTTCTTTACCTTACTCATCTCTAAAATCTGTTGAATATACCAATTTAAATTGCTTAATTTTTTGAGGGATGTAAAAGTACCAAGCCACGTTCAACTAGTTAACCTTAGTCAAATTTTATTATCATATTTTAACGGCCGTTTGTTTGCGATGTTTAAATACGCAGACTCTGTTGTAACTACTCTACCGTTGTCAAATTTGAAATATTTACAAATTTAGATCGTTCAGTGCTGTTTATTTGGAATTCTTATTGACGCAATCGTTCTTGTAACATCATAACTGTCGTCACCGTTAAAGCTTTAGAATTGTGCTAGTTCATATCGCACATTAATATTTTTATTTAAAGCATATATTTGAACTCTCTGTTGTAATTAGTCATATAACCTATGTCGTGTTTAACACATATCTAGAATTGTGCAAGCGTCTTACCTGATGTTCGGTTTGACTTTTTTATTGTATAAATTTCAAGATTGTTATAGTTTAATCTAAGTAGACTGATATATGATTCATTCAACATCACAATCATATTTACTGATGAAGGATATCTGTTATCCGAAATATTTATAAATAATTACATTTATAGTTCCTTTTTTTTGTTATTGGTGTTGTTGTGTACACTTTTTAGGCGTTCATATATATATATATATATATATATATACAAGTCTAAATTGAAAACAACGTTCAAACCTATGATTGCGTTGGATAAAAACCGCAATTTTTATACGTGTGCATGTAAAACAAATTTCTTTTTAGAGGGGTCTAAATACAGCACAAACAACATTTTCCAAAAGACCAAAAAAAGTGAAAAGTATATTTTAACAAATCGCATTTGACAAACAGGTCGAACAACTGATGTTCTTAAACCCTGCTGACTGCCATTGACGATTGCCAAATAAATTGATCACGAGATGTAACATGGATCTTAATTATTAATTTAATACCAAACAGAAAAAAACAATAAACTTGCGGAGAAGATGGTATACCGCAAACATGAGGTGCAAAAATTTGTACACCATATCCGGATTTCGACAATTAATGTCTCTTCAGTGATGTTAGGGATCGAAACGGTATTTGGAAGGCCATATAATTTTCCTCAATTTAGGATTGATATATATATATATATATATATATAGTTTGTCCGCAGTTTGAAGCGCTTTGACCAATTGAACCCTTCATGTCTATCTATACTTTTTTTCCGTCGACAGAAACAAAGAAAAAAAGGGGGAGGGGTTCGAATGACGTCTTTCCAAACTGCGAACAGAATACTATTATTTGTTACTGATTACTACATTACTTATTACTAAGTACTAAACAAGTGTGAACGATCACTGCCTATGGAAGTATCTTATTTTCCACTTATAAAGTGGTGGATTCAAGAGTAGAGGGCGTAGAGGGCGTACGCCCCCTTTTGATTGAAAAATATATCATTGTCTAACATAGAAAGGTCCAAAAAAAATGTTGGCCTCGCTACTCTTAGCGATATTTCTTCATGCAGTTTTGTGGAATTACGTCCCTCCCCCGCCCCCCCCCCCCCCCACCCGGACATCATGATCTTATTTGTCATTTATCACTACCAAACAATTGCGGATATAATCGTTATACTCTCATTAGCCATTTATTAGCAAAAAAAAAAAAAAAAAACTGCAGACACAATACTTGAATTAGCCACCTATTACTACAAAAACTGATAAAAGAAGACTATAAAGTATTTTTACAAAAATACTGCATACAGAGTTCTCATATTTGCCACGTGTTACTATAACAACTACAGGCAGAATAATGCTCATAATTGCATTAAGTAAAAATAACAAAAATACCGAATTCCAAGGAAAATATAAAACGGAAAGTGCCCCATCAAACGGCAAAATCAAAAGCTCAAACACATCTAACGAATGGAAAACAACTGTCAATTTCCTAACTTTGTACAGGCATTTCCCTATGTAGAAAATGGTGGATTAAACCTGGTTTTATAGCTAGCTAAACCTTTCATTTGTATGACAGTCGCATAAAAATTCCATTATATTGACAGATATGTGTGAACAAAACAAACAGACATAATAGATAAAAATGCAAAAAATTAGGGTACAACAGTCAACATTGTGTTATAATCTTAATCACTATAAAACAAATAAATATGTCAACAAAGAAAAACAAAATGATATACTTATTACTACAAAACGGCGACAAGATAGCTCTTATTTACAACTAATTTCACAATATAACTACAAAAATAATACTCTTATTTGCCACTTATTACAAATCTGCGGACACAGTCATACCCTTTTTAATATGCAAAAATCCATATGTTGATGAGAGCCATAGACAACTAGTAGCGTAACAAGACAATTTATAATTGGAAGTTTCGGCTTGTGGTGTGAGGGTTTCTAAATATACCAATATTTGCATTTTACAATTTATAGGATTTTGTCTCAGCAGAGAATACGATGGATTCAGCATACCTGTCTCTTTTTGAGAACTCTTTGCTTCAGTCTTCCCCATGTTTTCTCCTTTTACTTGGAGCACCACTACGAGTTTTTCATTTTGGTTGGAGAAATTCTCCAAAACGGATAAATACTCTCGGAACTGTAAGTATCATTATAATTACAAACATAATTAGTCATATAATGGGAACGAAATACAACGATAGAAGTAGTAAATCATAGCAAGACAGGCGTTTTAAATTTAATTGCATGATGCTTATGCTGTTGGTTTAGTATCTAACGTCCAGTGGCAAATAGTACATACATATCAGGACGGAAACATGTTATTGTGATATGAAAGAGAACCATGCTTTGCACAATATCGGCAAACTGGGCCGGATCTAAACGTGCCAGTTCACAATACACATTAGTCTGTCTAAGAGTCGACCTGTCCGCGTTCTTACTCCTAAATGCTTAGAATAGTATGTATTATCTAAATGAATCTTTTGGCCATGCACAACATGAATTGACTCACAGTAAAACATTTATTATTTGTTCCTCTTACTGTTTCTTGAAATTAAATATTTAGAATTTCTTTTTTAATATTTTGATGGAGATTGTCCTAAATGCTAAATAAATGTTGCCGCAAAAAGACTGTCTTCAGACAAAAAGTCAAATGCAACTTATGTTTTAACGGTTATTATAATGAGTGCTTGATTGAATGATTTGTGTTTAACGCCACTTTCAGCACTATTGTGCTATTTCGTGGTGGTCAGATGTTATTAGTGGAGGAACCGGAGTGCCCGAAGCGAGAAAGGAGAACTGACAACCCTTGTCAATTAAGATTGGAGTCGAGCGCTCCTGCCACGTGCGGGATTCGAACTCACAATCTTAGCGTCGACATGCTAGCTAAACAGCAGTAAGACTACAAAGACCACTCGGCCAACAAGGCCGCCACAGAGACCCTTTGCTATTATAAAGATATATAAAATCTAAACGAACATGAGTTTATAACGATGTAGTAAAATTAAGTCAGCACTTGCAGACAATACACCATGAAACACAATGCGTTTAATAAAGGAAATCATACATGATTTTAGTCTGTTTGTCAGAAGTGGAAAACTTCTCCGTGAAGAAATTGGCAGGTATATTTTTTCGATAAATATATAATATGAGAAGTGAACACGATATATTGGTTTGATGCTGTGATCTATTGTACGTTCTTGTTTCGGAGGAGTTGTTTGTTGGTTTGGTCTATTGATGTTTTTTTCTTTGGATTGGCCAAGCCGGGGATGTGTTTAATGCATATCAGCGCCACAGATAAATGTCAAAGAATAAGAGGCACAACAAATAATAAAAAAAAAACGTTAATCGAAAATAATGAACAGATGTACGTCATGCAGTGTAACAAAAATCACTCTCTAAATATTATATTCTATAAATAAGAAGAACCTATTCAAATTAATCGTATTTTTCATTGCAGATTTTGACGGTTTTAATTGCTGTTTTAACATTGGGTGTGTTAGCACTTAATATACATGGCTTTCTGGAAGGTGATCCATCGCTGACGGAATTGTTTCCAGTGCTTGTCATTATAACAATGGTAATATTACATATATTCTTTAAAAATGCCTATTGCACATTTCAATATTATTCACACACTCAGGCCTTTGAAACTGTTTTACATTCAAGCATGATTTGAAATACACTTTGTTTTAATGTACCATTGAATAAAAGTTAATCATTCGGTGACAAATCCATGCGTATTGTACTTTATGCCACTGCTTAAATAGTAAGTCTTATATATGCATTTTTGATGTTGGTTGATGTATGACAGAAATCACACTAATTTCCCAGCTCATTTGTCCCGATATGACACCTTTATGCCAACCAGTTAAAAAAACGATGAACGTTGTTCAGTGTTTTTGTTAAATAATACAATCTAGCTATAAGTATCTAGCAATGCTATTGTTAAACGTGGTGTACTGAGAAAATGTAACAAAGTTCAATAAAATGTCGTTCCTAATTGACCGGATACTTGTGATATTTCCGTTTCTGTAGATATGATAGTAAGTATAAAAACAAATGGTATCCGGATGTCTATAAATAGAAGGCGATGTGAAGTTTATGTCATCGAGACAGCAACCAAACAACAAAATTTCCAAAAGAAATGTAGAAGAAAACATACAGTCTTTAACAATAGACATGCGTCTATATATATACAATATACCACGCTATAAATATAAATTGTCCTGATTCTACGCAAATGTTGATTAAACTTAGCAGAAATAATCAAAGATGATTTGATTATATTATTAACACCAAATCCCCCTCCCCCCAAAAAAACATAAAAAAAATGAATTTATACATCAGTTAGAAAAACTTTGGACGAAAGACACACGGGAATGTAGCGGGGTTACACTAGTTTAAAGAGATCTCAACCATTCTCCATTTTTTTAAATCTCAATCATTAGACTATTCAACCGTACGTAAAAGATCACACAATAACATAGAGTACACGAAAAGCACTTAGCTATAATAGAAAAGTAAGATAACATAATCACAAAATAAATAAAAGAATACTCGCAGTTACTGAAAGATAGCTCAAAGTACTTAACCTGTCACCATACACAGGCGCAGATCCAGCCATTTAAAAAAGGGGGGAGGGGTTGTTTCCATCCCCAAGAATACCATGATACTTTCACATAAAAAGGAAAAAAGGGGGGTTCCAATCCCTAGACCCCTCCTCCCCCGGATGCGCCATAATATATATAATTTACTTAATATTTATATTTTTTTTTTACTTAAAGTAAGAAAATAGTTTACTTGGGATGATTACAGATAATTATTACTTGAATGAATTGTTCTTACATTTACTAAGTAATTGGAAGATTATACTTTTGTACTTAAAGTTACTTAACGTAGTAAACCTTTATATTAGAATATGAAATGTATCGTCTTTGCTTGTATAACCAGGGTGAATTACTTAGTATTTCATATATGTTTTTATTTAGTAAATAGGTACTTTGATTATGGCATGCCTGATTTTGTTGAATAATTTAAGAAATATTAATTAATCATTTAAATCAAAGGAGTGGAATTCAAGTATTTTTCATTATTTTTCAGGCATTGGAAGCATATTTATCTCGAACAAAGAAGATATCACGGCCTCGTTCAAAACTTTCTTCACTGTTACTACTGATGCTGTTCTTGTCAGTTTTTCTGAGACTGTGTTTTAGCAGTTTACAAGAAGGTGTAACTTTACGTGTAAGTATATTTTGAAATTTTCAGTCAATCAAAAAAAAAATAATAAATCTTCATGCTTGTGTCCAGTATATACAGACCTTCTAAAATTCAAACTGACCACACGCACGATACACGCACGCACGATACACGCACGCACGATACACGCACGGTGAATGTACGATGAATGCACGGTGAATGCACGATACACGATACCCGCACGATGAGCGATGAGCGTTTCACGGAGGATTAACGAAAAATGTCTGTTTATTGTATATATATAATATTCGTAGTGTAGGAAAATATTAAATTTATTTGACGAGCTTTAGAAATAGAGAAAAAAAGGCGAGGCTTGCTAAGCTTTTCTCCTGTTTCGTAGCCAGTACAAGTACAATTTATTTTTTCAGACACTGTACAAATATTGGGTTTATACTGCAATTTAGCATTGAACTTAAACGTATAGTTTTTTTCTTCCGTCGATGGATTTTTCTAGTGAAATCGACATGACTTAAACGCGGACTTCTATGATGACCCAAATTGAACTCTGGTGTAAACAAACAGAAATTATTGAAAAAAAAAACATAACCGTTCGCTAGCAACAGAAGCAGGATAACAGGAGACTATATAGTATACTTTTATCGCTTCGTGTTATCTGTACACCTGTATTTGTATTCTAGTACATTGTAGTAGAAAGGACGATTGAAGAATAAATTTTAATCAACCGAGGCGAGGCGGTATCGTTGTAGCGTATTCGTTTCGAACGTTGACGCAAGATTGAATATTCAATAACCAGCAACAACAAAAACTTTTTTTTCTCATTGCACAAAGGTGTAGAGCATGTGCAATATATAATATATAAGCGAAACGTCCAATAACTAATGTATGCAATTACACTTCGACCGTGCGACCTTCATGGGTAGTCAAGGTTAGCCCTTAGTGCAACTACAATAACATATAACATAAATAAAATAAGTAGTTTATTATGCGAAAATAGACACATTCAACAAATATTAATTAGAATTTAGGGACCAACCATTTAACTTCAAAAAGGGGGGGGGGGGGGTTTTGTCTGAGTCAGACATTTTTTTTATATTAGTTTTAGTAGTTTTTCATCAAATTGGAATTTTTAGGAAAAAACCATAACCCCACTTCTTGAAGTTAAATGGTCGTTCCTTTAGTTCTTAGTTATTTAATAATACCCGATCGGGTCAAAACTAAGACCTTCAAATTGGTACCGTGGTAGCTGCTTTTCCGTTTAGTTGGCGGCAATTTGTAGTAAGAGTAGTGTAAAGTACATTTTGAAGTAGCATGTAGGTCAAGTTCAATCAAGTACAAATAAGGAGATCTGGCATGATTGCCAATGAGACAAATATCTACCAAAGTTCAAATGAAGTGGATGTAAGCAATAATGAGCAATCGTAACGCCTTCAACAATGAGAGAAACCCATACCGTATAGTTGACTATAAAAAGCCCCGACATGAAAAACATAAAACAATTCAATGGAGAAAACTAACGGCCTAATTATAACAATAGTATACGAAAAACAAATGTTACAGAGATGACCAAAGACAACCAATGAATTACAGGCTACTGACTTGGGACAGGCACATACAGAATGTGGCGGGACTAAACATGTTTGAGAGCGCTCAACCTTCGTATTGAATAAAAGTTTTATTGTTCTAAATATGCATGAAAAAGTTGCTAGTGGACGATAAATAGCCATCCATCATAATCATTATTGTACGTAACCACTTTGGCTGGCATTCTTCGTTTTTATAATTTAATTTTTAGATGCCCCTGGTTCGATTTTGATCGGGTCAACTACTTGGGATTTTGATTTTGAATGAGAACAACTCTTTGCACATTTTGGGCTTTTGTACAGCTTTCCTGGGTTAACTTCTTCAGGAATGATCAAAACCAACAATTTGAAAGTAGGAGGATCTGTATGGCAAAATATATCTAACAATTCTAATAAGAAAAATACCGAAATCTAAGGTACATTTAAAAAGTGAAGTCCATAAAAACCAAACGCTAAACTATATCAACCGACAGAACGATTAGAAACAACTGTCATAATCCTGATTTGGTGCAAAAAGAATGACAATTTGAATTACTGAGTTATCTTGTTTAATAGATATCTTTGTATTTTTATGATTTTGCAAGCTTTGTATCCTACATTTTATTATGGTTGCGGTTTGTCATCTATTTCCCGCATGAACAGATTCTTTTAGTATCACACCGAATGGAGTGTGCTATAAATAAGTGATACGAAAAATACGTAATTTTGATATGCTCATACTGCAATGTGGTACGAAATTGGGAACGTTCTATTGGCTATTCGTTAGGTCAGTGTTGACTTGTAAAGATAAGTATCATCCTGACAAAAGAGATTTTTTATTTCAAAGTGTGGCATACATGCAAGCAGTCACATTTGTCAACAAGAAATATTCTCTTTGTAGAAATTATTTCCATTCTAAAGCATAACAAAAGTTCTTAGCACGTTAGCGGATTTATATTTAAAGTGATGCTTGTTAAGTAGAATTTGAGGACAAATATAATGTTTACATTGAGAGAAAGATGTTTAGTCACTAGCTATGTAGTGTGAATTCATTGGCGGATCCAAGGGGGTGTTCCGGGTTTTGGAAGCCCCCCTTTATTTTTGATTTTTTTTTAAATATTTAGCTCTTTTTTTTTAAAATTATTTGAGGGTTTCATGGTGTTACCCCCTCCTTTTTAAAATGGCTTGATCCGCGCATGGAATTAGATATCGCTTGATATTATCAATCGTTATTTCATTTCATTAATATAATAAAATTGTCAATAACTCGAGTTGATAATTTTATTTTACCTCAGAAAACTATATGTTATTTAGTAAATACTATACTCTACTTTTGTTTTAATGTTTATATGATAAAGATGAGGCATCGGTGGTCGAATGTTCTTAGAAGTCGAACTACTGTATCGCTAACTTGTCAAGACTGCGGTTGTGAGTTCGAATCCAGCACGTGGCAGGTCTACTCGACTCCAATCTTAATTGATTAGGATTGTAAGTAGTTTTCCTACTGAAGTTCGGTGGTTCTCTACGAGTACTCCGGCTTCCTCCACAAATAAGAACTGACATCCACGAAATAGCATGATAGTGTTGAAAGTTGCGTTAAACTCCATCAATGACACAGTCAATATATGATCTAGAAAAAGAACCGGTACTATAAAAAAAAAAAAAAAAAATATTTAAAAATTTTCAGTTCAATTTGAATAAAGAACATTTTCTATTTTTTCAGAATGGAACCTATGATTTTTTACAAAGCAGCATCCTTTTGTTATATTGTGTACTGGTATTGATTCGCCTGGTTGAGTCATTGTTTTACAACAGTAATATTGTGGATTCTTCTTCAGGAAACCAGGTGACATTTAAATCAGTAATATATAATTTGTAATACTTTTTTAGCAATGGAATATTACGCCACAACTGCGAATTAACCCCGCCTTATAATGATTAACGTATCAAAAATCGACGCTGTAACATCCTACAGCAAGTTGTAAATCCATGCTGAGGCGCATGACAACCAGTTGTAAATTCATGCTGAGGCGCATATAATTCGCAGTTTCAGAATTAAAAGGACAACAGGTATTTCCATTATGAGGGTCCCGTCCGATATTAGTATACCCCAGAGGCAAACTTAATATTTACGGGGGGAACCAACCGAAATAGATATCCGTACCCATAAAAATAAAAATACAGACACGCCATTGTTTGACTTTTCATTTTAAAGGACGTCATTATGCGATAAAACTTATTCGGTACGCCTTTGAATATCACCCAGGGTATAAAATATATGTAATCTCACAGAATTTCGGATGCTATCATAATTATTTTCATTATTTGTAGGATAGTAGGTTCATCCTACTAAAAAGGTGTTGTAGAAGTAATAAGAGTGTATGGTGTCGTTAGAAATTAAGCATTTTTCCCGAAAGACGCTATGTGATTCTTTACATTTGTTTTGAATCACAAAACCTTGCCACAGTCAAATACACCTCGTGGTTACTTACATGAATGCATGTCCTATACAAAGGCTAGCGAATGCTATTTTGGAAATGACTGTTGGTCCTAATGTTTGACATATGGGGCTGTGAACGCTGATAATGTATGTGGTGACTGATACAGAAAAAAGAGATAACCGATCGCAAGAAAATACTGCACAATACAACAAATTACATTAAAAAACAACACCCGACTCCTTTAAAAAGCAGACAAACAGACGTATAAACATATAAAAAAAAACAACACTATGTACTGTTACAATAAACTCTTCATCATAGATACCTGGCTATAGATTCACAGATATTGTGGTGTTTATTTTAGGTTCCTGAAGATGATTTGAGCAAAACCAATATATCTGTTTTATCGTCACTTACGTTTAGCTGGGTAGAGCCGTAAGTTGAAATTGCTTATATTATTAACAACAATAATAATAATAATAGTAATTAAAAACCAATTGTTCCGTCTTTCCACCAGAAACGATATATTTTGATATGAAAATATAAAAATCCGGTTTTAAATGTCATTTCCAGTGTCAAATATATATGGTTTCTATACATTTTTGTTTGAAATAAAGGAGATAATTTGTTACTTCCGGTTTGAAAAATGTCACTTTCGGTTTTATTTGATAGTTTACTTGACACTGATTCCAAAAATGTATCATGGTTCTATATACTTTTACATTAAATAAGTACAAAAAATAGCTACTTCCGGTTTACACATGGTCACTTCCGGTTGGCTTTTTCAAAGTCATATGGCTTGCAACCTAATGCACAAAGTCCCATGGTTTTATCATGTATACATATGAAGTTAAAGCAAAGGTTAATATCTAGAACGTCAAATTTACCTATGACCTTGACCTCAATTTCAAGGTCATCAAGCAAGGACCTCATATCAAAAGACCATAGGTCTCTATTATGTATTGTTAATAAGTTATATTACAATTCATCTAACTTTTAACATTCAAGGGGAGAAAACTCCTAGTGAATGTTATCACTTCGCTTGGAATAGAAATTTCCTATTGCAACAGATCACAAATAACAATTAAGTGGAAATATTTGTCGATATCTATTACAGTTTCTTAGGAGTAGCATGCACAAGCAAAAGCAAAAAATTAAAACATGACCTTGACCTTTGACCTTTGACCTTGACTTTATTTTCTTTTTGATGGACCCAGGACCTCAAATCAGAAGACCCTAGGTCTCTATCACTAAAGATTTATGAGTTTCTATTACATTTCTCTTATGTCAAATACATAAGGGGAAATAACTCTCATATGGAATGTTCAGATCTCTTCGATAAAGATTATTCTTGACAACCTGAGGATGTAACGAGTTATTTGGTAAAATAAATTTGTCGTAATCTTTTACGGTTGCGAAAGATAGTACGCACAAAAAAAAACAGTGTTCGGGGAGATAACTCTTACATGAGAAAGTGTTCGGTTAAGCGGTGTCAGTTTCAAAAGTGTATAAACTGTTCGATATCATATGCAAAATATCTAAGCGACATCTTGTGAAATAACAATACAGTGCATGAAAAAAATTAAGTAGAGGAAAAAAAAAAAAAAAAAAAAAAAAAATCAGAACAAATCCTAAAGGTCTTTGCACGGGAAAGTGGAAAGTCCTAATAGTAATAATAAAAATTTTAAATGTTGGAACCCCCCTTTTTCTGGTTTTGTTTTGTTTTAATTATGCAAACGTTTCATAGTATTGTGATGGTTGGACCCCCCCCCCCTCCAAAAAAAAAAAAAAAAAAAAAGAAAAAAAAAAAAATGGCCTGAACCACGCGTTACAGTCACTCTGATATCAGGTATTAGTCATATACTAATTATATCCCTATTTGTTTTGACGTGCATAAATGAGCAAGTTTTGTCATGTGATCAGATTATTTTCTTCCTACAGTTAACAAATGCCACATACATATTTCAAGATTATTATTTGACCTTATTTCAAATTACCATTTTTGTTTTATTAATCAGTCTATAAACACATGGTCGTGTGAATCTTATAGTATTATATGTCCACTTTTGATAAAAATTTAAAACTATATATTTGATATCCAAGTGCAATGGTCTATCTCCTTATAGGCAACTATTATACGATATGATTGCACCCTACGAGGTTTTGTCTGATCTATACTGTTATATCGTCTTTACATTCCCATTGGATTATAATAGATTATTCATCTAGTTGTTACACAGGAAAATATCCTTATAGTGCTGCATCACCATTATTTAATTTCATGTATTTTTGCTGTAAAATAATTGTTTTCAAAATCATCTTACTAGTTGTATGCTTAAATTGTTTGCATGGTTTGAACTCAATCTATGAGCAGTCCTTAGCGAATCCTGAAGTCCAGAACTGGGGATATTATACAGTTAAAAAATTATGATCTATCTCAAATATAAATATAGGGATACATTTCTAAAACAGCATTGTTTGTAGTGAAGTGTTATATCTCCAGAAAAGGGGATGTTTATTTATCTTAAATGTTTGTCAATTAAATAAACAATCGAACATAGAGTTTCTTTTTATGTACGTGAATTCAATTCCTATATATAAGTTTTAATGACTAAGACAAATTTTAATGATATTGTGCTTTTAAACATTAAGTTAGATTTTAACCACTATATTGCCAAATGTGAAATACACCATTATAAGATTCACACGACGACATGTTACATTCAAGTTGAACATTGTACTTTCAGACTGTTTAGAAAAGGACGTGATAACAGCTTAAAACTAACTGATTTGCCACCATTTGCACCATCCAGTACAACAAAAACATGCATGGCAAACTTCGAAAAATATTGGACAAAAGAAGTAACCCGAGCTAACAGGTTTATAGCACATGGTTATCTCCCTTATACAATAATATTTATCATTTAACGGCACCAATTTACTGCGTTCAATGCGCATTTTAACTGCTTATATCTCTTCAGTGATGCACTTAGCCAAAATATTGGAAATATAAAACCCACTACATATACTGAAGGGTTGATCAAACAAAAAGGGACCAAACATAATACTCTAGACAAGGAATCAGAGTCACATGCAAGCACGCGGGAGATAATTCCTGACATCAGAAATATTATAATTAGACCAAACATAATACTCCAGACAAGGAATCAGAGTCACATGCAAGCACGCGGGAGATAATTCCTGACATCAGAAATAGTATAATTAGACCAAACATAATACTCCAGACAAGGAATCAGAGTCACTTGCAAGCACGCGGGAGATAATTCCTGACATCAGAAATATTATAATTAAAAAAAGAATTTTGTCATTCCTTTCTATTTCCATTATACATCATAAAGGAGCATAAGATTTCCAGCGATTTTTTGTCTGAACAGCTAGCATACGGTTTCCCTCTTTGTATATACTATCTTATACCAAAACACAGTCTGATGATAAGTAAAAACATAAAAATAAGTTTAAACCTACGTTATTGTTCAAAATCAAATTGAATGACAAAAATATCAGATAAACGTTTTTCAACATAGATAGTCTTTTCCATTTTGCACCAATAACCATCGGCAGCTCACCAGGTATCACATGTCTCATTTCAAATATGGCAAGCCGCAAATGACGTCCTTCAGAGGTTCATATGACATTTAACTGTCAATCAACAGGAAAACATTTAAAAAATATATTATTTTTATATTTGTGATAGTGAGAAAAAGGACAAGCACTTGGACAAGAAGAAAATTCCAAAAGCCAGGTTACTGACTTGTATTTGTAAGGCATCAGGACCACAATTACTATTGTCTGCATTGAACAAATTAATTACACATGGAACAGATATCGCACATCCATTCACCTTGACGTAAGTTTTGAATATAATCATGTATCAACACACTTTTTACACGAATTTAATCAAAGCTTGGTCATGCAATCATTCTCGGTCAAACATTGGCTATGGAAAATTCTACTTGTACAACAATTAACTATTCATTGAAGTAAAAAAAGGGCCAAAGTGTATTACATGTGTGCATTAATTCAATTAGAAACACCATCTATAATGGAAAACAAAGATAATTTTAGCTTCTTATTATTTTTCTCTAGCAGCTCCTGTGTAAACATGACGAATCTGACGGAGATTGCTCCTCCAAAAGATAGACATACTTGGTTTATATATATATATCATACTAATTATTTAATATTTGATTCAATGTTTCCGGCGTACTGGGTACCGTTTTCTTTTCAAAAACATTTAATTATATAATTCATTATTATACACTACGTACATTTTAATAAATATAATTTTTGTGTGATGCATTAAAACTCTCTCTCCGAAGAAGAACATACTAGGCAACCTCTTGTCAACCTATAATATACTTGTCGCATTTTAAACTATGAATCAGAGTTTCCCAAAATTTGGTATCAAGTCTCAAGTGAGAATGCTATGTGATGCTATAGCTCATAATTCATCTTGTTGTTTTTATTCATAGATTGTTGTTAGCTTGTATATCGTCAGAGTCACCCGAAGAGACACAGAAAGGCTACGTGTATGCCTTTTGTATCTTTGGAATCGAACTGATTAGAATCTTTGCTGTGATGCATCATATACACATGACTCAGGAAGCAGGGAGAAAGAATGAACTGGCACTTACAGTAGCAATTTATAAGAAGGTACAAACACATGTATATAATAAGCCCTTTGTGATTTGATGAACAGTTTTGACATGAGACTAATTAAAGATTAATTGAAAGAGAAAATTTGTTTAAATTGTTAAAACAAACCTCTTCAAAATTGTCCGTTTCTAAATTTTGAAATTGTGAAGAAACTTACATTTGTAAGGTTTCAACTTCCTTAGGAAAAATTGGCCTTAAATGGATTTTGGCTTTTTTTAAAAGTCCTTTTTGGTTATACAGCTCTTCAACAGTTTCGGTTCATCAACATTCTTAGCTTTCAAATATTCGGCTTTGAGTTTTCCTGACAATGGTAAATCCAGAAAAGCTCTTCGGTCGCCTTAAACGTATAGCGTGTCTTTAAATTTACTTATTTTTCTTTTTCATTTACTTCGATTTCCTCTCTTAATTTTACATTTAAGGAATGACTGTAATTTTTTTTCTGTCTATGAAGAAATAACATAAAAAATGTGGTGCACACTGAATAACCCGCGTAGCAGGTTATTTTAAAGTATTATGAACCACATTTTTTATGTTATTTCGAATAGACAGAAAAAATATTACAGTCTTTCCTTATAATTTAATTCTAAATTCCATTTTAAGCCGGAGTAAATCACGAAAAAACGTCACATGACAAAATTATGTATATGAGCTGATAGACAAAACACTGTCGGCCAATCAGAAGACGCGTTACATCCAAAATTAGATTATTTGCCTATATAGTAACGTTATTTTAGCTTTCTGTTTTATTGATCACGAAAACAAATTGCTTTTCTTAATAAAGAGAAAACCAAAACGTGCAACCTACAACACTTTATGCGGGAACTTCAATATGCTGTACACGTCTTATAACAATACAATTTAATTATATAATTTATTTAACTCAGACATATTTGCTTAAATTATATGTATGTAATATGCAAAAGAACAAGGTGAATTAACATACACAAAGCAGTTGAAAATATATGATGGTAAAAAAATTTAGTCGGACATGCAGTTATCATGGTTATAATTTTGAAATATTAAAGAAATAATATTGTAATTTTTTTGTCATTTTTATTGTTACTTTGATAAATCATTCACTTTCGTTACTTACATGCACACCGTTTAGTAATTGCTTCCTTCTTATATAGCCCAGTGAACTTTTTTTTCTTTGATATTGACTCAGATGAACAACTGCAATATAGAATCTAACACAAAACTAACGTTATGATCTCTACTTTTCAATTATCAACTTCCCATTACTCAGCAGTAACATACAATCTGCTCTATTGTATTTGCGTTTACATATCTTAATTCAGGGGCGGATCCAGTTATTTTTAAAAGGGGGGGGGGGGTGGGGGGTCCCAACCTAGGATAAAGGGGGGGGGGGGGTTCCAACTATATGTCCCAATTCACCATTCAAATGCATTGATCGTCAAGAAAAAAAGAGGGGTTCCAACCCCCCGGAACCCCCCCCCCCCCCCCCCCCCCCCTTCTGGATCCGCCACTGTTAATTGATACGTTACTCTCGTGCATGTTCACACTATTCCGACTTTATCAACAAAGGTGTGCTCCTTAAAAAAACCTCTAACAGAGTTATGAGAAAGGACTACTGAAATCGACACTACGCACGATTTACGATCACCATCACGAACACGTGATCACGAATTGGTTGACTGTTACGATATGTCTGTGTTTCAGCTTATAGAGACATGTTTTTACGGTCATATATCTTAAAATTCCAGAATAGTAGTTTGATCTGTCAATTTGCTGAGTTGTCCCATTTCTAATGCTTGATTTGTATTGCGGGTGATACATGCATAATAGGAGACGCATACCCTATCGTCATGTCAACGCATCCGGTCTCGCTGCTTTTGGAGTTCCTGCGATTCCATCAGTTGTGTGTATTACCTTGAGTTGTATGCTCGTATGGATTTATGAGATATGAACAGCGGTACACTTATATTGTTGTGTCTTCCAGAGAGTGTATTTACTATATATACTTATGTATTTTTGTAGATACTAAGACTATCAAATACATCAAGAAAATCTTCTACAGTAGGAGAGATTATAAATCTATTGTCGGTTGATGCCGGGAAAATAGGAGCATGTATGTGGAGTATAAATGATGTATGGGCAGTTCCATTAGTTTTCTGTACCTGCTTTTATATCACATGGAGAACGCTAGGTATATATAGATATATATTTGCCAAATTTTGTAAAGCTCTATACGATGCATGCAGGGATTTTACAACGGGGAAATAAATCATTATTCATACTTTTGAATTGTATTTAGTTTAGTGCTTTAAACTTCTGTATTGTATGTACATGTAGAAAAAAAAATCAAAGACCAAAAACATAACAACTTAAATGCAAGCGTCATCATTTATCTGTAAGAAACTTAGATTTTGCAATTAAACCAGGAAAATACAAGATAGTACAGCGATTAATATTTCCATACAAAAGCAGTGATAAGTTATCGGATCATTATGATGACTGACGTAATTAAAATTCCATTCCTAATCAATAACTACAAAAACATTATCTGAAAGTGTTACTGCATTTGGAAAATTTTACATAATGACACTTTTTCTTTTTTATCAGAACAAATTGCACATTTTAGCTCAAGAGAAAAAAATCAAATATTTATTTCAGCTGTAAGCCTCTCATTTCTAATGAGGGACCGACTCCCCTTAGATATGAGAGTCTTACATCTAATACAAATTATCAGTTAAAAAACCTGCGATTTTCATAAATAATAATGATTGAGTTGAGTGAGGTCTACCAAAACATATTTTGCTACGAGACATCATTCATCAATATGTGAATATTGGTCAACATTCTATTTATTAAAAAAACAATAGTATTACACAATTTCAAATCCTTTGACAATTGTTATACTTTTGTAATTTTAGTGGAAAAAAATATTGGTTCATATCATACTCCCTTCTTTCCGATCCTTTGAAGAACCCACAAAAATTAGTCAGAAAGACAATGCACAGCTTTACCTCTTTATGTTCCCGCAGCAGGTTTGCTTTGCTTAAATATACAGCACCTTGAACATCGTCAACACATTCTTCAATTCACGTACCGTTAGTTAAATTTTAACGGATGTATTTTAATCGTTTGCACCGTTGTAAAGATTACATTGTGAATTGTAAGGAAGTATTATCTTCCTCTATAATTGTATAGTGCATGATAGATGAAGTTCAAATACGTTTGTTTGTTAAATATCTAGATTATTTTTTATAACACTTTGCATCATTAACATTATAGAATACATTTCTTTCAACAGGAAATGCAGTAGTGATAGGTGTTGGTGCCTTGGTGGTTCTTATGCCTATATTTTCAATATTCATAAAGAAATCACATGCTTTTCACGTAAGTATAAATGATAATTATTGTTCACACTTAAGTGAACAAAGCCGCAACTATAGACTAATGATATGTAAACATGTACCGACGGACACGAACTTCCAGAGAATCTCCCAGACAGCGAGGGACCAGGATTAAAATAAGTTTTATTTGCATTTAAATGAAGCATACATAGATTAGAAATACCCTGACAAGTTATTTTGCTAGATTCTTCAAAATAACAGAATTATGGTCATTTTTGTTAGTTTCGATTTTATTAAAAATTTTCATTCTTTTTTTTATATATTTGTTTTCACATGTATACTTATCTATTATAGTGTGTTTTGGGTGTGTGTGTGTGGGGTTCAAGACTTTCTCTATTAATTAAAATGCAATGGTAGCTTTACCAACGAAATAACTGAAGAATTTTAATTTGGTTGCCATAGCAACAATGTATTCGAATCTGCAAATAATACAATCATGTTATGATGAATTAAACTTTTTCTTTTCTACGTCAATTCTAAGAGAGTGAATAACAAGATATATAATTATATATATAAAATATGTAATAAACCACCAAAGACCTGTGTATTATTTAATATGGTCTCTTATGTTCATTTATTATCTTATTGGTGAATACATGTATCCTGAAAAAGTGATTATATCAAAGATCTGTCAATGCAGAGTAAGATGAAAAATCAAACAGCATGATAAATAAAAAAAGGGCATGTATGTAAAAGGGATGTTAAAAAACTTTCAACAACATATACATTTTATTCATGTAATTCTAAGACAGTCATAGATAACAAAACTAGAGACTACTTTTGGGGTCCTAATGGGCAGGTATACCTTGCTTGATTAACATGTACCGGTATATAACGGAAATGCAGCAAACTGAATACGATCAATAATCTATTTAGATTTCATACTCTTTTCAACCACAGCAGAAGCAATAATTGTAATGCGCTGCGTCACCAGTTACATTGTCTTCTGCAATTGCGACCGCCAATTCCCAATATACGGTTACAACAATTCAATACCTGTTGATACAGTAAATTGATTAACATACAATCGGTATCGACAAATGTTCAAATAGCTGATATGATGTCTTTTGACAACTCCGTGTTCATTATACTTTTTAACAGGTTTTAAAGAAGAGTTTCACTGATGCAAGAATCAAAATGATGAATGAGATTTTAAACGGGATACGCGTAAGTAGCTTTGTGATCAATTTGATAAAGTTGGTTGATAATTCCACCTTTATAGAATTAGAGCCGGTTTTGGCTATACTTTAGGTTCCTTAAGGTGATCAGCTCTTCAACGTTTGTATTAGGTTTAAGACTTTCAAGTATTTTGACCTGGAGCATCACCGAAGAGACATTACTTGTCGAAATGCGCATCTGGTGCAGTAAGATGTATATCGTTTAAATTATTATAGATCCCTTTCGATTGTTGGCAGCCTATTTTTAATTTTGATTTTGAAGTTTTTATTGAATTATATTTTACAAACTATTTGAATGAGGAACTAGCCGCCTTGAAACTTAGATTCATCTAGTTTTTTATAACAAGACAATTCAATGTTAACAGCTGACTGGAATTTACAATAACTTTCCTGGCAGTGAGAAACTGTGTGGCCCTTTACTGAAATTAAATTGTAATACTTTATAATAAATTCATTTCATTATAGTAATACATGTATTAAAACAAGAATATGTGGTACCGGTATGATTACCAATGAAACAACTCTCCATCAGAGACCAAATGACACAGACGTTAACATTTATAGGTCACCGTACGGCCTTCAACAATTGCAAAACCCATACCGCATAGTAAGCTATAATAGGCCCCGAAATAACAAATGTAAAACAATTCAAACGAACTGCCTAATTTATGTACAAAACAATGAACGAAAAACAAATATGATATACCGCAACTAACGACAACCAGTGAATTACAGGCGCCTGACTTGGGACATACACATATAGAACGTGGAAAGTTTGGGTACAAGGTACATGTAGCATTGGGTTTGAAGTCTTCTGTTTCTTTTAAAAATATAAGATAACCCCATGACATGTTTATTTTGAATTTGTTGAAGGTTATGAAGATGTATGCATGGGAAGAGTCGTTTATGCAACGTATTACAGAAATACGCGATAAAGAATTAAATATGAGACAAAAAACTAAAAGAATGGAAACATTCCAGCACGCATTGTCATCATCAACGCCTTTTATGGTAAATATTTTAGCAGCCAATCAATCTTTATAAAACTTTCAATCACCTCTACGTCTTTTATGGAGTTTTTTTACGTCGGTTGTAGGAAAAAAAATAGTTGTTTCTACCATAGCTTGTCCAAGTTTCAAGCGGATATTTAGTTACGCTGGTATCTGGAATATGCAGGTTTTTGTATACCTGTAACCGGAGAGCATGATGCTTCTGAGAAAATCACATTGTCTCCACCGGGACTCTCTGTATTAAAGTGCAGCGCTCTAACCCACTGAGCTAAAGAAGTACTTCCTTAGCTCAACCGCTTACGGCTGACTTAGTATCTACTAATGAAGGGAAGCAATCCTGTCCCATATCTTATTGTTGACTTTTGAGACGTATAAACAACACTTTAAAGGGACATTTTATTGCGTACGTTCAACTGATAAAACAACTCCATTACTTGGGTCTGTACCAAGACAAAAAAGGATACTAGTGTGCAATTTAAAAATTAGGTCCAGTGAAAACAAACAGCATCGTGAACAAAACGAAAATCCACCACAACACAAACAACAGCAAACAACACAATCAAGATAAAAAATAACTATTCAACAACGTAAGCTCTGTTATAACCAGAATTGACTCCTGCAAATCTGTTATGAATATAAACATCAAAACATAAATAACAACTGAAATGTGGGAATCGTTTGACACACTGTTGTAAGGTATGTTCCTGCTATGCATGCATCAACAGACATAAGAATCCGCAATACAATTAAAATGTCACAATACGCAATCTGTTGATTAACAGATCATACGACACTTCTGGTAATTACAGGTTAAAATTCGAGATGACATATATCATGATAAATAAAAATAAAAATATGCGAAATGATTGCTGATACGTCAACAAATATTCTACAAGAGACCAACTAACAAACCAAAACCAACGACCCCATAGACCTGATGTAAGTAAAATCAACAAGGAAAAAAAAACCAAATATGACAGACAATAAACAACGACAACCACTGAATTATTTGTTCCTGACTTGGGACAGGCACACACAAAATGTAGCGTTGTTTAATAAGCGATCCAACCTCTCATATCATTTGACACTGGTTAAACAACACACCTTAAGAACAAACTGTAAACATTCATTGAACAGGGATTAATATTTCAGATTGGCGCAAAGCACAAAAACAAATAACAAAAAAATACATTAAGTGAAGATCAGAGTACTCGAAGTTACTGAACGCTAGTCGAAGGCAATAACAACTGATATACAAATCATGGTTCCCAGACATAAATATCAATCAGTACACATCCAAAATTTAGTGTAAAGTCGCCAACAATAGACATAGAAAAACAAGATGTATGACATGAAATAGCTTAAAAATTTCGAAGTTGCCATCAAACACAAATCAATTTATCAATGAATGAATCAATAAATCAATCAATCATTGTGCATGTAAAAAAAGAACAATAGCGTAATCATGATAATGACATATATACTAACGAGAGACAAACAAGGTGCAATGTTATGCCATACAATAAAGTTCTTTATTAATTACCACCTGAATTGTTTTTCAGATATCATTTTGTACTTTTGGTTCGTATGTGTTCTTGTACCCTAACGACGCTATGTCAGCAGAGAAAATATTCTTATTTACCTGGATGTTTAGAAATCTTCACTGGGCTTTGCATGCCGTTACACATACTATCAACAATTTTAATCAGGTGAGTGCCAAGAACAACAGGAAACATTTTTCGCCTGGCGGGTGATGCGTGCATTGCAAGAGAAAGTAACCTGTTTACATATATGCCTAGTCTCTCTCTTTTTGGAGTTATTACTTTATTATTATTTTCTACTTCGTTTTGAACGTTCTTGATTGAGTTATGAGATTTAAAAATCGGTAAAACTATGGTTTTCTCTAATGAACTACTGAGACTTTAAGTTTGGTAAAATAGGGTCATTAACGTTAAAATATTTGAACGACAGAACGAGAAATAGACATAGCCATTTCATGATGAATGAAAAATCCAAAATAAAATCGCTAATACCTTGCTTTGGTTTTACCAATCCGCAGTAGAAATGCTTAAAAAAAATGAATATACCACAGCTACTATCAGACATAATAAATGAAAGAAAAATCGACAAGATTATGGAAAGAAAATTGCAAACGACAAAAAAGAGAAGCAAATGCCTACAAAAATACTGAGCAACACAATTCACTCCTGAAACCAGGATGGACTCCCAGACCATCGGGAAGAATAAGGAGATCCTGCACCATATGTGGCACTCGTGATGTTGTTCATAACAAGTACAATTCGATGATAAGTCTCAATCGGTAACACTGTGTCACACTCAAAACAAAGACGATAATATTGTGTTGATGATTGCAAAATGTCTGTGACAAATATTCCATTACGGCCAAAACACATCATGGTGTTTTTTGTAAACATTTTTAAGGGTTGACGTCAATTTTAACACTAGGAATTGTGAATTGAATAGCTTCATTGTAAGCAACAACCCTCTATCAAGGAGATGATAATAGAAAAAGCAAAGTATTGTGATAAAAAACGTTGGGTTTTTAGTTGCTAATAATAGGTTTAATAACAAACGAGAATTGCATATCGCTTGATATAAACTCGAGGTATTTAATTTAAATAGATTAATAAACGAGCCTTCGATCGTCGAGTTTATTATTGATAATTATATCAAATATCGAGAGTTTATATTAAACTATATCCAATTCTCTCTAGTTGTTGAAACTATTTCTCTTATAGTTAAAGCTCTCTTGTTTTAAATTACAAATTCAACAAATCGTTGATCTAGTCTTTTGCACATAGCAGTTCGACGTCATATATCCTGTTCTTACGTTAAACTTTAACACTAGGCACTTTAAAGCCTTTTGTACGCTTCAGAATGCAATAAAACTTGACATCTTTTTTGCAACATTTCTGTTTTAGGCTTACGTATCGTATCAACGAATCGAGAATTTTCTTAACAATGAGGAAATAGATGACGATTTTATAACACGGAGTAAAGAGACAAGTGAGTAGTTACTTATCAATTATGGACTTTTGACAGGTTCATATATAATGTATTGACTGAGTGAAAGTCCTTAATTTATATATTACATATGTAAATAATGTATTTGGAAAATGGCGTTCAATGTTCTTTCTCTGTATTTTTAAATTGTATTTTGCAAGAATGTTAACATATAATTGAAAATTTCAATATTCTTGGAATAACTTCATAGCTTGTTGCCTTAGCTTTCTTGTATTCTTAGCGTCTGTATTTAACATAAAATTCTTGATATCTCCTTCTGATAAATTTGCAACTTTTCTTTTCGTCTGCGGCGCTTCCTCCATGGTTGTTATTTGTGACGTCATGACGTCATAAATCTAAATTTAGCAAGATTTTTTATATTGACCGTCAATATACATATAAATAGAAACATAGCTTCAATATACTTAAAAATAGAAACAAAGCTTCGGATACACAAAATAACCTTTGAAACACGTGATCATAATATCCAATGAAAACAAGAGATGTAATATTTGTCTATATTACATATAGTTCGATTTTCCTGTTTCTCATTGGTTTATTTGATCACGTGTTTCCGAATTAATATATTTTGTATTTTTTTCACTATTTTGACATATTGTCTCCAGCTACTATTTTTAAAAATGATATTGACTCCATGTTACTAAATATAGTAAAATCCAGTCAACTTCATTTCCAAAAATAGTAACATCGAGTCAATATCATTTTCAAACTTACACTATATACATATAATATATATATAAATTAAGGACTTTTACTCAGTCAATACTTTATATATGGACCTGTAATTTTATATTAAACCTCGGTCAATATAATCTGAACAGGTCTATATATAATGTATTGACCTCGTCAAAAGCCCATAATTGATAATTAATATAAATAAAATAGAAGGATATTTTGGGTAAAAGCCACCGATACAGCACCCCTATGACGAAACAAAATGACCACATTTCAAGGTTAATTGACAGTCTTAGACCATAAATAAACGGTATGAATGAAGCATTACAGTAATTATGACAATTATCTGAAATTAAAAAGTGAATATTTTATATAGTCTAGGCTCTTATTTCCTTAAGTCAAAAAGAATAAAAATAAATAAAAAACAAAACTCTGTAATTAGCATGTGATATTTAAACAAACGCTTATGAGACTACTAATACATGTAGTTGCGCTGAGTAACTCGATTTTTAATTATCATTTAAGAATTAAGAAACTAGTTTCATTACTGTAATCATTATTTTAGTAATCATTTTAACTGAGTTCTATAAGTTTTCTATGTACCCTCCCCCTTTTTTTTTACATTTTTACCTTTTATATCTGTTTGTATTGTTCACACATTGTTGTCAATATATTGGAATTTTATGCGACTGTCATACAAGTGAGAGGTCTAGCTAGCTATTAAACCAAGTGTAATCAGCCATTTTCTACATAAGTAAATGTTTGCACTAAGTCAGGAATATGACAGTAGTTTTCAGTAGTTTGATGTGTTTAAGTTTTTGATTTTGCCATTGGAGAAGGGACTTTCCTCTTGAATTTTCATTTGATTTCGGTATTTTTGTTATTTTACTTTTTTAATCATTTAACTATGCCATCATGCACCAATTCCAATTACTTAATATACTTGTATATGTTACATTATATACAAGATTCACAATTGTACCATAATTCGTTCCACATCACATCATACATGTCATGCATAATTCATACTTTCAGCATCATAAGAAGGTCTCCATGACTGCAAACAGCATTCCATATGATATCAATAAGGTTTATTAGGAAAGTCACAATTGTTGACATTCGATGCTGGCAAACAAGTTTAAATATTTCTATTTTTGAATTAAGAAAGAGGATTTATTATTTCTTATTTATATGCAGAATATGGAATTACATTAACTGATGGAAATTTCAAGTGGGATAAAACGGCAGAAACAATATTGAAAGAGTAAGTATTTACTGCTTTTAAAAAGAAAAATATTAACATATGAATTTAATTAAATAAAACAGAAGAACAAAAGACAATAGCATATGGTCAAATTGCTAAATGCCTAAAAAAGCAAAGAACAGTCTACAAACATTACACCACAAAATAAAACTAAGCACACGAGTTAACCTCAAGTGAACCGGAAGGAAACAATATCATTAACTACTTAGACATATAAAATATTTCAATGCAGTAGTTGCTTAAGGTTGTTTGCAATCGTGCTGGTTCTTCAAAATTACATTTTATATTCACACCTCAGACTCTAGCAAGTGGCATCAGCTAAATAGATAATTATTGTTATTTGTCAGTTACTACTATATAATCTGTGGAATTAATGGTACAAAGGAACATCAAATAACTTTGATTCAAATGCATTTACAATGTTTCATGACAAATAAATTGTTTGGTAGTTGTTTCCCCATCATAGTCGTATTTAAATTAAAAAGGAAAGTACTAAACTGCAGTCTAAAACCGTAAGTTTCAGAAAAATAGACAACATCGTTGAACATTCAAAAAACACAATACTATGCATTAAAAACTTGAAACTATGCAATGGTTACCCCTCCAAACCAAAACGCTAGTAGTTAAGATGATCCTTACACAGCTACTTTTGCATAGGTATTATTTCTGTACCAAAAATATATAGTACTGGAAATCTACTTTTAATATTCAGTACTATTTTGTAACTTTAAAATTATTGTAATATTTAGATACATGTATTTTACAATACTTGATATGTACTTGAAATTTAAGTACTACAAAATTTTGGTTACACCGTTACATTTTCAGTATTTTGAAAGTTTGTCTATTTCAAATCTCTTAAAGTTATGATTTTCAAACATGGAATATTGTTATAACTGTTGGTTTTACTTCTGTACCAAAAATTTCAAGTACAAATCAAGTACTGTAAAGTACAGATACCTAAATATTACAAGAATTTTAAAGTAAAGAAATAGTACTTAATATTAAAAGTAAATGTCCAGTACTACAGATTTTTAGTACAGAAATAGTACCTATGGAAAAGTAGCAGTGAAGTATTTACACAATAACTTTTCCAACAGTGAGAATTCGGTCTGATTTCATCTGTGTGAAGGCAATTAGCAGTACTGATTCGTTAGTAGAATAAACATTGGTGTCTCATTGGCACTCATACCACATCTTCCTATATCTATGGTGGTGAATTTTGGTTGTTTTTTGGACCATTTTTTTCTTTGAATAGAAACTTATACTGTAATTATAAACATCGTATTACTTGCATTAGAACGGAGGTTACCGGTCGTTTTTAAACCCTGATCGTATTTGATTATCGAGACACCGCGATATACAAGACTGTAGGAAGCGCAAGACAACTTTAAAGGCTTATGAATAAATAAGTTTTATTATAATTAGATTCGGTAAAGAATGAAAACCAGGACATACCATAAGCTCTAATGAGCTTTTAATCGACCAGCTGTATAAAATACATACCAACAAGAAAATATGTGTATATCTCTCGTTGATGCGTAAGTTGAATATCTTTTCAATTAATTAATGTAATTGTAGCATCAATCTGAAGATACCAGAAGGATCACTTATTGCAGTAGTTGGATCTGTAGGATCTGGAAAATCTTCATTTCTTACTTCACTTCTTGGTGAAATGGAAACGGATACGGCAAACATTAATGTAAAGGTACGTAGGAAAATCTTCATTTGTAACGTCACTTCTTGATGAATTGGAGACGGATACGTCAAACATAAATGTAAAAGTACGTAAGACGTCTTCAATAATTAAAATAAATTCATTTCCACAGATATTAAACACGTGTTATCATTCATGTACAGTTGATATTTTTTGTTGATTTATATTTGTTTTTTCTGGTTTATCGATAAGATAGATATAGATGTTTCAGCAATTATGTTTGGTTGATAGTTTGTTTTAAAGTAAGCAAAACTGACAGCATGCCTGTTCAGAAAACCATCGAAATGATAAGAAATAAACAATAATGTCTCCTCTTTAGATGGCCCGAGGTGAAGCTTATTTTGATTATACATTTTATAAAATTCTAGGCTCTTCAGTCAACCCTCAACAATTGTATGTTGAGTATTAATACGTGAAGTGTGATTTCATACTCCGTGCTAAAGGTTTCAGTGCTTTCAAGATGAAGAGCAGTTGACACCAGTGCTGTTTCCTCTTTGTTGCTTTACCAAAGTTCCAGCACGGATTTCTGTTTTTCTTATACTCTCTTTTCAAGTATTTACAGAACTTTGGTGGATATTTGTTTAAATGGTTATCAAACGACATCTCCTTAGTTTTATATTTGGCGGAATTACTTTGTATAAAAGGATGGGATCACTTACATTATAAACTCCCTCATATATTTCAATATCATGTCTCTCTACAGGGTTCGGTTGCATATGTTGCTCAGCAAGCATGGATAATGAATGCAACATTACAGGACAATGTGTTATTCGGCGATAAACTGAAGCAAAAGACATATGAGCAAATAATTGATGCAACATCTCTAAGAAAAGACTTAGAAATGTTTGCAGCTGGTGATCAAACTGAAATTGGTGAAAAGGTAAAATATGCAGTTATTATCTCTTGTTTTTAAGATCGATAATTTCTAAAAACATTTTTTTTTTTTTGCAGTAATACATGAAATATTGGCGCATTTAGTAAAAATGAAAGAAAGAAGAAATGTTCTCGTTTGTTGCGTGTGTATTGCACAAACCTTTGAATTGAAGATTTTGATTATAAATTAAGACAGGATATATGAATCTGTATTCTATGCATTTCAGTTTTTTGTTCATTATAAGTTTCAATTTTCAGCACCTCTCACAGCCTTTTATATCTAAGTTGTCATGAATATACCAGATATATACCATACGTATACAAATCGCAACTGCTAATAAATACAGATACTCCTTAAAATGCATATTGATATCATGATTAAGAATACATATTCAACTACACAGGGCATCAATTTGAGTGGAGGACAGAAACAAAGAGTAAGCTTAGCACGAGCATTGTATAAAGACGCGGATATATATCTCCTTGACGACCCACTAAGTGCTGTAGATTCACACGTTGGTAAACATATTTTCGATTCAGTTATAGGTCCAAGTGGTATTTTGAAGGACAAGGTATGTATCAGTTAACACTCATCCATGGTACAAAGCTTATTTGTTTTGATTTGCCAGACGTGCTTTCATCATGAAAGAGGCTATCGAATACAAATAGTTAGAAATCAAAATCAAGTTCGAAGTGAAACAGCACTTAACACCAATCATTAGAAATGAGTATACCTAATACAGCAAAGAACACCTTAACATACCAGAAGAAAATCTTTAGTGTTTCAAATATATCAAAATTATGTTAAAAACATAATTATGACCACAGGATGTTATATGTCAACAAAGATTCGGTACATACTGGTCTGGTAGTACTCTTAGGGTCTAAAGATTAATTTAACCGGCAGCTCATCAAATATAGTAGGTCAGCAATTGGCAATAGGCACGTTCCTTCTTTATTGACATTTTTGTAGTAGCTAAATATGCTAAATACCGGAACTAATTACACAGAAAGAAAATGAATGGTCAATGGTCCTTTTTTGGAGAAATTTGACGTTGATAATTTGTCGTGAAATGATTCTATCTAGATTGTTCGTGCTTTTATCATTTGCATACTTTGTTTTTAAAAAAATATAGAAAAAAAAAATAAGAGTTTTATAACATTTTGAAACTTTTTTTTTAACTATTTATAAAATAATAATGGGAAGGGAAAGTAGGGGGTTAGTGGGCAAAATATCTGAAGGCATAACATATAAAAAAAAACCAGTTGATTTCGAATATCTGACTAATATTTAAATAAACTCATCATAGATACATGTACCAGGATTAAAATTTTATATTTGCGCAAGAGGCGCATTTTTTCTACAAAAGTCTCATCAGTGTCGCTTCAATTGAAAAATATTAAAAAGGCCAAATAAATATGAAGTTGAAGAGCATTGAGGACCAAAAATTCCTGAAAATTTGCCTAATACGGCTAAATTAATCTACTCCTGAGGTAGAAAAGTCTAAGTGTTTCAAAAATTCCAAATTTTGTAAAATGTTAATTTATAATTATGACCATATCAATGATAATTCATGTCAACACAGAAGTGCTTATGAAGTTAAGCAAACACCTATTGCTTAATGTGTGTCAATTCAGATGCAATACTTTGTATGATATACTTTTATGACACTTGGTATGATATACTTTTATGACACATGGTGTTGATACTTCTCATTTGTTTGATCAAATACTATTATTCAAGCTAATTGATAAATCAGTATTTTAATATGTAAAGTGTTTATATACATGATATATATAATTACAGACAAGAATACTTGTAACACACGGACTTAGCTTTCTTAGAAATATGGATATGATAATCACACTAGTTGATGGTAAAGTAGGAGAAATAGGATCATTTACTGAACTCATTGGACATGATGGCGCTTTTGCAAAATTTTTGAAAATATATATGATAGAAGAACTGACATGTGGAGACCCTGAAGAAGAACAAGAAGGTATACTTCTGTTCATAAGATTTATTTCATACTTTGTAAATCGGAAATAAAGGTCATAAACTCCCTGAATGGAGTTAACTTCAAAATTTATACGATACAGTTTCATCATACAAAACTACACAAAACGAAATTCCAAAAACCCTTTCATCTATCCCCTTTCAGAATTTTGAATCACAATAGATTCGCATCGTTCAAAATTGCCCAAAAATTAGTGTGAGTCAAGAAATTGCATGCTTCATTATTTGTTTTTCTAAAATGGACTAACATTTAAAAATGATATAGTATTCCCCAATTACAATGTACAATGTACCATACAACATAAACCATGCCCCTTAATCCATTACACCATACACCTTAGACCATTACACAATTACACCTTAAAACATTACCACATTACACCATACAACTAACACTATTACACAATACACCTTGAACCATTACACCATTATAAAAAATAAGATGAGGTATGATTGCCAATGAGACAACTCTCTACAAGAGATCAAATGACACAGAAATTAAAAACTATAGGTCATCGTACGGCCTTCAACAATGAACAAAGCCCATACCGCATAGTCGGCTATAAAGGCCCCGAAATGACAAATGTAACACCATTCAAAGGAGAAAACTAACGGCCTAATTTATGTACAAAAAATGAACAAAAAACAAATATATAACACATCAACAAACGACAACCACTGAATTACAGGCTCCTGACTTGGGACAGGCGCATACATACAGAATGTGGCGTGGTTTAACATGTTAGCGGGATCCCAACCCTCTCCCTAACCTTGGAAAGTGGTGTAACAGTACAACATAAGTACGAACTATAAAAATCAGTTGAAAAAAGGCTTAACTCATCAGATGGATACAAATAGAAATACATCTAACAAAAACACAGAGTGGACGTGGCCGGGTACTTGTATATCCCAACAACAAAAAGACACTAAATACTGATCTGAGAGTACGCGCAGTTACTGACAGCTAGTGCAAAGCCACTAACAACTAATAAAAAAAATCATGCATCTAAGTCTAAATTATCAATCAGTACACATCCAACATCCAAAGGATTTAGTGTAAAGACGTCATAAACAGTCAGAGAAAAACATGACCTTGTGCAATGCCAAGATACAGGTATCGACAGATTGTAGATCCATAAATGTGTATATGTATATCAGAATAATATTTAGTATCCTTTTAATTTACTGATAACAAAATCAATATTAATACCAATAAAAACAATATTCAATGATCTTATTACAGTGTTGAATTGGTAACCTTTTAGAATAAGTTTATTTAAAGGATCGATAAGTTTACCAGGATCGGTTATGAATTTCCGGGAACAGTTAACAACATTTCCGTAAATATGAAGATGTGCTATCCCGTTTGAAATAAGTTTTCTACAGGTACAACCAAACTTCAAAACCAAATCTTTATATCTATGGAAGAATTTAGTAAAGGTTTTAAGTAATTTGTGGTAACGAAATCCCTGGCTTAATAATTTACCAGTAATACATAGATTACGTTCGTTAAAATCAAAAACGTCACAACAGACACGGGCATAGCGAACTAGTTGTGAAATATAAACACTGTAAGATGGTGCCAAAGGAACATCACCATCCAAAAAGGGTAGATCAACAATAGGGAACGAAAAATCTTCCCTTTTGTCGTAAATTTTAGTGTGGAGTTTCCCGTGTAAAAGCGATATATCTAAATCTAGGAAAGGACAGTTATTACCGTTTATATTTGATTTATTCAAAGTAAGTTCCTTTTGGTAAATTTCGGCAGTATATTTAGAAAATTCTTGATTATTTAACGAAAAAATATCATCAAGATAACGGTAAGTGTTGTTTATTTATCAACTGAATGCAAAATAGACGGGTCTTTACTGAGTTTGGTCATAAACTGTGATTCATAACAGTACACAAACAAATCTGTTATTAAAGGGGCGCAAATAGTGCCCATAGGAATATTTACAAACTGTCGATTAACTTTGTTGTCGAAACGTCCATAATTATTATCAAGGAGAAAATTAACAGCTTCAATCATCTCATCACACCAGTAAGTATATCTAGCATATTTACTTTTCTCATTAGAGAAGAAGGCATTAAATGAATTGCAGCAAATATATTTGCATTCAGATTTACCAAACGATCATTTAATTAAATAGGAAAACTTTTGAGATAAGATTGTGAGGAAGTGTAGTGTAAAGAGTAGAAAAGTTAAAACTGTGACCAGAATCAAAAGGACCATCAAAAGCACTTAATTTATCTAAAACATCCAAACAATTTTTTACACTCCAAAAAAAGTTAATTCCACTATTTTCATATATTTTATTACAATAGTTTATAGTAAGTTTTTTGATAGTACATGTAGTTAATGAACTTGTTAAAAGCACTGAAAGATCAGTTGTAGAACACTTACTAGAGGCCGAGATGAAACGATATTTAACTGTTTTTTGTGTAGTATAGGTTACCAATACATAGTTGGAACCTACAAATGTTCAGAAGAAGCCTTAAGCTATGATGTGGTTATGATATGTTTGTTTACTATATGACTCTCTGTGGAGCGCACGGACTTGAATGTAGGTGAATTTAACATGTCATTCTTAAGAACGTCCATGTAGTATTTACGGCATACCACCACCACATACACCATATACCTTACACAATTACACCATACAGTTAATGCCATAACACCATGCGCATTAAGCAATAATAGAATGCACTTAAAACCATTACACCATACAACTTTAAACTTTTATACCATACCTATTCAACCATTTTACCATGCACTTATAACCATTTTACAATACAAATTAAACCATTATACCATAAACCATAAACCATCACACCATACACCTTAAACCTTAACACCATACATCTTAAACCATTCAATCATACGCATTAAACCATTACACCATACGAATTTCGTTGGGAAGGTTTTAACATTCTAGGGCTGAAGCAATTATTTTGAAAACATTAAAATCGTCATGTGTTTTGTAATTGATCAATGGACATACATTCATTGTTACATATATCATACATTTGATTATTTAGGTTTTTCTTATTCTTATATTTTTTGTGGACTATTAATTGTAGCATGGAAGAGGAATACACTGTGTTACAGCTGTCTGCCCGTCCTTTAAGGAAGAGGTTGACTGTAGATTTTTTTGTCGTCTAATCTATGATATAGTTGCTCTGAAATTAACCAGCATCTCTTTAAAGCTTATTTATTTTCATATAAATGCATACCCTTTAATATTTCTTTTAACGCTATCTGTTTATATTATTTAGTAATGAGTATTTTTCAATTTTTCAGCTCTTGCATTAACAGAAGAAGTTGCATCCGAACTAGAGAGAAGTGGAAGTTCATCAGTTCTAATGAGGTATATATTTTTTATTAATGTAATTGTCATTGTTAACATTGTTTCCTTTTTTTTTAAAAATTATTTTAGTTTTAATTCCAATATAACTATGATATCATTCAAAAAGGGATTTGTGCTGCAATAACTAACCATTTACAAACAAAGTTATGTTAATAACCAAACAAGATATGAATAAACTGCGATTTAAAATGCGCTTTTCATGGCCATTAAATACATGCATAATTTTTATTTTCAACTTTATCATATTATATAAATATATCATAAAGTTGAAGTGTTTAGTATATAGTTAATCAATGTTAATATTCTTTATAGACAGCTGTCAGAGATAGCACAATTGAAAAGAATGGAATCAAGCGAGGATGAATCATACAAGTCTAGACCCTCATTACTAAGTCGTCATTCTGAAAGACCCACATTACTTAGACGTCACTCTGAAATATATAAAAAGACGATTGAATATGGATTAGAAAATGAAACGGTAGAAAAATGTGTGTTGAAGAAAAATTTTCTGAGACAACAGTCAGCAGATATTCATTCTACCACAAAATATTTGAATAGTTCCTTGCATGAAAAATTGCATCATACTTCCAATCAACATTTGCAGTGGTTAGAAGATAGAAACATATACAACCCTGACCCCTTAGATGATATTATAAACGATATATGCGTTGAAGACGAAAGTGAACACAGTATTATGAATAGGTAAGATTTCCTATACACAATGAGCTGTTTACACAGAGGCACCCTACAAAACATATTGTAAATACTCTTGAATAATCGAATATTTGTAGCTGACTTGACATCGGTATACACTATTCAATGTATTCGTTTAACTATTCTTGTAATTTTGATTGTTTATACATAACATTTTTATCCCTCTGTCGATGTCACTATTGGTTGACTGTGAAATGTTGGTCATTATACCCCCGCTTTAAAAAAGTGGGGGTATACTGTTTTACCTCTGCCTGTCCATTAGTCAGTCCGTCAGTTCGTCCGTCAGTCCGTCTGTCAGTCCCATGAATATTTTTCGTCGCATCTTTCTCAGGAACTACAATACAAGGATTTCTGATATTTTGTTTCAGGGTTAATATAAGTCAGGTATACCGTGTGAGGCGTTTTCAGATTAATCACTCAACAACTTTCTGTTAATCGAACACTTGTTTCATTTTACACATGATAGCCAAGTTGAAAATTTTCGTCACATTTTTCTCAGGAACTACAATACAAGGATTTCTGAAATTTGGTTTCAGGGTTTACATAAGTCAGCTATACCGTGTGATGCGTTTTCAGATTCATCCCTCAACAACTTCCTGTTTACCTTATACTTTTAGCGGGCAGGGGTATCATTAGTGAGCAGTAGCTCACAGATTCACTTGTTTCACATGTTTCATTCGTGTTGATCAATTTGACATCATGGGATGGCTTTCATATCAAATGTTAGTGGTAGACTTATAAGATACGGTGTATCGTGTATGTTTTTGAAAATAGGTTAATTTGACAAAAAAAAGAGGCTTTTTGTGTTTATTTTTTAATTACTAAAGAAATCAAAAATCGATGAATTCGGAAGTGAAAATAGAGACTTTCATTGCATCTATACAGATAATTCGATAATTTTTTTCGGACTGTGCGTCCGTTCGTTCATTTGTTCATTCGTTCGTCCGTTCTTCCGCCCGTCTGTCCCGCTTCAGGTTAAAGTTTTTGGTCAAGGTAGTTTTTGATGAAGTTGAAGTCCAATCAACTTGAAACGTAGTACAAATGTTCCCTATGATATGATCTTTCTAATTTTAATGCCAAATTAGAGTTTTGATCCCAATTGCACAGTCCACTGAACATAGAAAATAATAGTGCGAATGGGGCATCCGTGTACATTCTTGTTTTTATATTAAAATAGTCATTTTTTTACAAACTAAGAATCAATTATTATGATTATGAAAAAAAACTTACTTAAAATACAGAGGCACTATACAGTTTGTATGGAAATAAAGGATACCAAAGGGACATTCAAACCTTAAGTCGAAAAAAAACTGACAACGCCATGACTAAAAAAGAAAAAGACAAACATACCAACAACAGTACACAAAACACAACATAGAAAACCAACGACTGATCAACACGAACCCAATCAAAAACTGAGGTGATCTCATGTGCTCTGGAAGGGTAAGCTGATCTGGCTCTACTTGTTGAACCCGTCGTGTTGCTAAATAGTAAATAAGAGGCAACAATTGTTTAGCAAGGTTCAAAAATAGGCTAAAGATACATTGTTCGAAAATAAACTTACAACGCCATGGTAAAAGAATTATTGATCAAAAGACAAACGTTACAGTATACATGGTATACAAAACACAACATAGAAAACTAATAACTGAGCAACACGAATTCCCCTAAAAATCGATGTTGATCTTTAGGAGCTCCGGAAGGGTAACCAGATCTAACTCCGCATGTAGCACTTGTCAAATCTTATTAATTCATTTAGCAGATACAAATCAACAAAAACAAAACAAAATTGCATCAACTTCAAAGGAACGAGGTCTGTTGACTTTATTTTAAAATTTCAGATTATCTGATTCTGTTTTTATTGACTAGTATTTATAAGATCTCAGCCTTGAGATGAGATGTAGTCGTGAAAAACCTTCGAGTTTGAAAGGCCATCATTGATGATCTGTTTATCGCTATTTTGCCTATGACGTCGTTGATGTTTACCTAACAACGACAAGTGCGCCTTTAGTCTCAGACGATAATTTTCTATTTTAAGCGAGTAGTATGATATGCAAAATTATCCCGAAAAAGATCAAAGGAAAAACATACTACATGTAAATAGCGATAAAAAAAATTACATTGATTTGCTGAAAAAATTCATGACCAGTTCTACATTATAAATACTACATTTTTGAAATTGTGAAAATGGTAAATGCACACACAAATGTATTGTATTCACTAAACATTTCGACAAAAGATATCATTATTACATAACAGACGTTCATCTCGATCATATCGTTTTCATGTAGGTAGTATTTTATGACAGGCAAGATTCATTCAATAGCATATTCAATCACACTGTACATTCTGACACTATGAGTAAAATTAAAAGGACGCAATATTGAATTATATACGAAGTGAGAGATTTAGCTAGCTATAAAAGCAGGATTAATCTGCCAATTTCTACCTAAGGAAATGCCTGTACCAAGTCAGAAATATGACAGTGATTTTTCATTCATATGACATGTTTGATGTGTTTGAGCTTTTGAGTATCTTTCCATTTGAATTTTCCTTGGAGTTTGGTATTTTGTTATTTTATTTTTATTTTGCAGACTATCCTCACGTTGTTTGTCAAGACAAGCATCAAAGTGTATTATCACGAATGATAATGAAAAATGCACCAAAGCATCACTGATAGAAGATGAAACCATTGAATCAGGAACGGTATCATATTTATCTTAAAATATGTCAATGAACATTTTTAATTTAATTAATTCTTCAAAACAAATAAAATATCATTCACTGCTCATTGATAATACAGCACGACAAGAACACTCGTATATTTTAACTTATCCAACATTGTCAGTTTAAACTATGACCACTAATTCACAAAATTTCTTTCTTTTATAAACATTGCGTTAAACAGTTTAGTTATCCTTCATGGAACTACTTCCTCAAGATTCAACTTTTTTCATATTTCTTTGTAAGATTTTGTCAACATAAATATCTTCAAAAAGCAACATAAAAAACATTGCATAAGTTTGTTAAAGACTTAACTTAAAAAAAACTCTGTGGTTAAGAGTGAAAAAAAAAATCAAATTAACTATCATTGCTTTCAAAACGTTGTATTGACATAAATGCATAAATAAAAATACTTTTGTTTTCAATAGGTGAAGGTCAGTGTTATAATGTCCTACGTGCGAGCTATTGGTATTAAGTTGTGTATAATTGCATTAGCATTCAATATGGCACATTACGTAGCGGAAATATATTTGGACGTGTGGCTAAGTAAAATCACTGATGATGCTAGTTCTGACGAAAAGGACCGACCATCTATCAAAATGAGAGTTGGTGTGTATGGAGCCATAGGCTTAATAAGAGGCAAGTTTAAACATAAGTGAAAAACAAGATTTGCATACTGTTTCATTTGGTTATATCATAAAGCTATTACACTTTCTCATACATTGTTGACTTGGGTAGATATTTTGGGTATTTGTTGAAGTTTTTTTTAAGTTTCCAAAATATTTGGTTTTTTAATTTACCTGAAAGAGACTATTTCAGAAAAGCCCTTCGAAAGCAAACCTGAAGTGTAATTTCTTATTTGTGATAATGATAAAAAATATTCGGTCGTACCTGTTTTTAGTGATTTGAAATATACATGTAAAAATATAACTTTAAACCTTGAACGTTACATTTAATAATTTTAGGCATACTTATCCTGATAACAGAACAATTGGTAGAAATCGCTATGATAAATGGAGCTAGAAAGCTCCATACTAGCTTACTAAACAACGTTCTCATGTCACCGATGAGCTTTTTTGATTCAACTCCACTTGGTAGAATCATCAACAGATTTTCAAAAGATATTGAGTCTATTGATGAAGACATTGTATTTATGTTCAAAGATGTAGTAGTCAGCGGTTTCTATTTTATCATGTCTGTAATGGCCATGTGCAGTGGGACACCTCATATGATTTTGGTCGTGGTACCAATAAGTATGGCTTTTTGGTACATCCAGGTAAGTGCTTTTATACATTTTAACATAATTGCATTCATCTTTTATAAACGATTTCTACATAGTTTGTCGAAACGTGTTCACAAATGAATGCACCCGACTACAAAAGTAAACAGATAAAGTGCTGGTCCTTATTTTTTGTGTGTTTTTTGCTGTGCATGTACTGATTTTGTGTCATGGATTGATACCAATATCCTTAGTTTTTCTAGTATGATAAAAAAAAATATAAGAAGACGTGGTATGATAGCCAATGAGATAATTCTCCACCAGAAACCAAATGACAAAAAAGGTTAACTAGAGTAACGATTTATTCTTCTTAAACTTTAGATTACTAGTTCTCGTTGATATCATCGGTTCATAGGTCCGTACATGTAGCAACTCTGACATGCATAGGACATGTCGTTCTTAAATTATCCAATGATAAATTTGTAATTTTACCTGATTAATGTAAGTCAGGAAAAGTGTTTGCACACAATGTATTAGTTTTTTTTTTGTTTGATGTTTATTTACAACATATGTTCTCGATTGAGTTCACTGTAAACAAATTCTAATTTAATATGTCATATTATATGTAAAACGTAAAAGAGTTACATAGGGGGAATGAAAAAAACGTAGATAGGATGATCAATTCTGTCAAAATCATGCAGCAAAAAAATGCACAGAATTACAAAAACAAAACTGAACTGCACAAACCCAACTAAAATTTGGGTTGACCTACTGTGGAGGGATTATCAGTAGAAGTGCCATATATCGTGTTGATCATAACAAGTAGTTCAGTAATAATCACAGGAAGGAAGATGAAATTGCATGAACGGTCAACGGAACAAATCCGAAGTCACGGCGAACCACCAGTTGATCATAACAAAAAAACCCAATCATGTCAAATAAATATTAAAAAAAAATGAAGTCAATTTTTGTTTGTTTACTTAAATTTGTAACAAAGAATTCTGTCTACTTTTTATAAGTGTAGAACACAAAGAAAGGCTTAGGCAAGAATTTTTTTAAACATGAACATTTTTTTTTGTTCAACTTTAGCAATGTTTAAGATTTGTCACAATTAATCTGAAAAAAAATGAATTATAGTACATGTTTTGTTATCTCCCTTCTTTTATCCAGCAAACAACAGTACCAACCCGACGGCAATTGCAAAGACTAAGTTCAGCTGCGCGATCACCAATATACTCCCATATGGGTGAAACCATATCAGGGTGTTCAACCATACGAGCATACCAACAGGAGAGTAGATTTATCCAAGAGTTGATAAATCGATGCGATGATTATAGTAATTGTATTAATCTTATTTGGTCAACAGGAAAGTGAGTTAATATATTTGCATAATTTTATATTACTTTTTAGGCTAAAGTATTTGTAACTTGCAATAACTTTTAAATATCGTTAACCCTTTTTTTGCCTAACAACACAGTCAAATACATTAGGACAGTTTCAGTCCCGATTTTATAAGGAACCTTCTTCAACTTTTGTAGTCTATAAATACAACTGATGCGTTAATTGATCGTTTGTGTTTAACGCCACTTACAGAATGACCAGTTTTATAGATGTAGTCATCTGTAGAATACCAGGAGAGAACAAACCTTCGACAGGATAATTGGAAATTTAATCAATATCCTATTAAGATTGAAGTCGGATGCATGTAGCCGAAATTAGGTTTTGAACTTACAATCTCGGAGTTGACAGGCTAATGATCACCGATAAGATTGGAGTCGAATACTCCTGGCCAAAGTGAGATTTTGAACGTACATTATTAGAGTTGGAAAGATAGTGATCAATGATAAGATCGGAGTCAAATTCACATGGCCAAAGCAAATATCTTGAGTTGACATGATAGTGATCAATAATAAGATTACAGTCAAATGTGCTTGGCCAAAGCAAGGTTTTGAACTGTTGATCTCAGAGTTCACAAACTAGGGAATCATAAGAATTGCATAATACTTTTGAACTACCATAATTTTGATTGGTTGATTGTTGGTTGCTTAACATTCACTGTCATAATTTGAAAATGATAGTTTTATGAATACATTGTTTAGAAATAACTTGCACATCTTGCATGATTAGAATAACTATCTAATAAAGAGAAAAAATCAGTAGTCATAAATTATGAACAGTTCTTTATACAAGCGACCAATTTAATGTTATGGAATCTGTGTTACAAGGGAATCGTTAGAGAACATAATTCTTCTATACATAAAATTGATAATGGAAATGGGGAATATGTCAAAGAGACAACAACCCGACCAAAGAGCACACAACAGCCGAAGGCCACCAATTGGTCTTCAATGCAGCGAGGCAATCCCGCACCCGGAGGTGGTCCTCAGCTGGCCCCTAAATAAAATTGTGTGCTAGTTCAGTGAAAATGAACGTCACACTAAATTCCAAAACATATAAATGAACTTAAGTTAAACATACTAGACTAACAAAGACCAGAGGCTCCTGACTTGGGACAGGCGCAAAAATGCGGCGGGGTTAAACATGATTTGTGAGATCTCAACCCTCCCCCTATACCTCTAGCCAATGTAGAATAAAGAAACACATAGCAATACGCACAGTAACACTCAGTTCAAAAAAAGTCCGAGTCCGATGTCAGAATAGGTAACAAAAGAAATTAAGCAAAATGACAATGAACCATAAATGAACAAAGGACTACTAGCAGTTACTGACATTCCAGCTCCAGAACTCAATTAAACTGATTGAAAGATTATGTCTTCATCATATGAAAATCAAGTACAGTCCCTCCATTTAGGGGTTTAGTATCATACCATCATAAAATATATGAGAAGAACATAACCCGTATCATACCAACAACTGGTTTTAGAATAAATGTGTTTATTTCCGATGCAAAGACCCTATGAGTGAATCAACATTAATACCAAAATATGCAATCCTTAATGACTTGACAACAGTATCGTAACTATATCCATTCCGAATAAGTCTGTTTAAAGGTTTGGTTAGCTTTTGAGGTGAATGCCGACATTTTTGTGCTTTGTAAAGAATATTACCATAAAATATTGGATGTGAAATACCTGAACGTATAAGATGTCTGCGTGTTGATTTATATTTACGAATGATGTCCTTGTACCGATGATAAAATTTAGTAAATGTTTTGACTAGTTTGTGATATCGAAAACCCTGGTGTAATAATTTTTCAGTTATACAGAGATTTCTTTCGTTGAAATCAAATACGTTGTTACAAACACGAGCGAATCGAACAAGTTGAGATATATAAACACCATAAGATGGCGACAAGGGAACGTCACCATCTAAAAATGGATAATTAACAATAGGAAATGAAAAATCATCTCTTTTATCATAAATTTTGGTATTAAGCTTCCCGTTAAAGATAAAGATATCAAGATCCAGGAAGGGCAGTGTTCATTGTTAGTATTAGATTTATTTAAAGTCAATTCGGCAGGATATATCTCTGTATATATTTGATCTACATTAATTGACAATCTTATCATTATGTAAATGTGATCTTTCTTCTAGATGGACACATATCAGAAATGATTTCCTTGGAGCGATTGTAGTATTTTGTGCCTGTATGTTTTCGCTGATTGGTAAAGATCATCTCACTGTAGGGATTGTCGCTTTGACATTTACATATGCCTATAAAGTAAGAATGACAATAATAAATAGCTAAATTTGAAATTAAAGTTGCACTAAAATATCTTATCTTGAATTTTTAGTTGCCCTATACAGAAAAGGAATCAAAAGCAAAAGACCTTTAGGCAGCACGTCAATGTTACCTAGATAAACTATTTTGTCAAGTCTTACTCAAAAACAGCACAACACAGTGAACCCTACAAAAAACAACACAACAAAGGGAGTAGTAGATGAACAGAACGACCAAAATAACTTAAAATCAAACAATAGTCCAAAATTACACTCGTCACAGACTTATAAGTATTGAGCAAAGCGAACCCAAAAACAAAAAAAGAAATGTGCTCTGCTGAATAAGTGAGCTGGTCCTGTTGCACTTCGATTGTCCTTCATTTTACATTGTTGATACACATAAGTTAATTTTCTTGTGGGTATATGTTCATGCCCAATTCTCATTGTTACTGATTGTCCTGATGTTTTTTATCGATTATTTTGTATTGTTGGTTTATATATTACATGTATTTCTGTTATTGATTTTGCGTTATTCTTTATACATATGCCTGTACATCTACTAGCGTTTAAATAATGATGTTTTATTTGCCATTTAACATGAGGATTTTTTTGTTACTCACATATTCTGACATGTTTTTTAAAACTCAATGTTGACTTCAAGCGCAATAACAACTTTTCATATTTTTAGATGAAGGATCTTATTCGATGGTTTATGTTGAATTACGCCGATTTTGAAACCAACATTGTTAGTATTGAAAGAGTCACTGAATTCGTTGAAACTCCAAAAGAGGTATATTTAGATTTATTGAAATGTTGTATTGATATTAGAGAGAATTACAAAACAAATTTTCGTTTTCATCTTCTTATTCGTTTGCCTTTAAACCAGAACAAAATATTAATCTACCAAAATGTTTTATCAAAACTCTTAAGTCGAAGCGAACACAACAAATGAAAAATGACAAATGACACAACTAGATTCCACAAACCAATACATAAGAAACTATAGACTGACTAATGAGAATCCGAATAAAAACCGGATGTTACTGTTTGTTTGTGTGATTCCTGCTGAAGGCCTCACTGTGACTTTGAGATGAAGAACAGCAAAAAAAAAGCGCTGTTCCTTTGCTTTTTGTGTTTTTTTATCTGTGCATGTACTGATTTTGGGTCATGGATGGTTACCCAATATCCTTTGTTTTTTCTATTTTATAAGTTGTTAACATTTACATCATTGTAGTTTTAAATTGGTGTTTGATTACAAGTTATACCACAATTGTTAAAAATAAATATGCAACTTTTTCAAAAAGTGCGTAACACAAATGTGTTTTGAATCTTTCTTCAGTGGGATGCTTATATTGCACGGTTAACGAATGTCTGTTTGATTACAATTCAAGTTTTGACAATAACCTGTACGAAATCAGACGCCTGTAAATGACACGGAAACCAGGCGTAGAAATCATACTTTATCCTGGCGTCATTGCAGTGTTTAAGGAATGCATGTCCAGGCGTCAACCAGGCGTAAACCAGGCGGAAACCAAGCGTAACTGAGGCGGAAACCAGGCGTAAAATTAGGCGTAATATTTAAATGAGTACGCCTGGTTGACAGAAAATCAGGCGTAATATGCAAATGAGTACGCCTGGTCAATAAATAAACCAGGCGTAATGTCCTTACATAATACTACACTTAATTTAAATCAGTGTGTTACCCTAGCTGTGTACTTTGTGTATTAGATACAAACTTGTACTGTTGCTTAAAGTTCTCACTGTTTGACATAAAACTTGAAATATTAACCATTGAAGAAGCTATATAAATAAATACATATTAGACAGACACTGTCTCAAATAAGTTTAAGTTTAAATAAGAATTATGACGATTAGTTTTTCTTGACATAAAACTAGCATTTTGACTAAGTTGTTTTGAAAATTAATGTCATTTAAACTAAAAAAATCAATGATAATACTGTAATCAAACTTGTGAAAGATTTAAATGTTATTATCCAAGGATGAGGGTTTCCAGATTAGAAATTAATGGTAAAAAATAAAAAATCAATAACTTAGTTACTCACATAATTATTATTTACCATGGCCATGTATACTACTTTCCTTTCATTTCACAATTTTCATTCATCAATTTGATTCCATAGTTACAATTTCAAGTTCTTTCAAAAAGCACAAAAAAGTTAATTTCCCCTGAATATATATGAAGCTGCCATATGTCCAACTTGCAAGCTAATACCAGAGAGCCAAATTTTGAAAAAATTTCCCATGATCCTTTTAACAAAGCATTATGGGTATTATGATTTACGCCCTTCCAACAGTTTTACGACCGTAGGAAAATTTACGCCTGGCTTATTTCAATTTACGCCATGTTTACCACTTTTTTCTACGCCTGTAAATGCTACAAATTTACGTTTCCTGCTCCATTACGCCTGGATCCGGACACGTAACTACCACTTACGCCTGGTTTACGCCAGATTTCCAGGCGTAATACGCCTTATAATTTCGTACGGGAAGGAATGCATTATAACATCTCAACAATATTTCCAAGTTTCATACTTTTGCTAATCATCTATGGACTAAATTTTGCAACAAAACATAGCCGTACTGTCTTTGAACCCAGTTGACTTAAAAAAACCACACATCCTACCAGTCGCACGCACACTAAGAGCCAAACGATCTTAGATGTTCATCTTTAGTGGTTAGTGGACACAAACCTGTCACATCTGAGTTTGTAAGTTCGAACACCACTCGTCGCGAGTTGTATACGACTGTGATCTTTATTATCAAGGATTGTTAGTTTTGTAGGTACTTCATCTTCCTCACCAATATACCTTGCTGTCAAAGTTCTCAAGATTAGCTTTATAGACCAATAAACAAACAAACAAACACATACACAAACTTACAAACATATGAAATTAGATGATATATTAAGGATTTCTATCAGTAAAAGCAACCATTTCTCTTCAAATATTTTCTTGTGAAAAAAATAATTTTATCTAATATATATTTTGTGGTATTATGTTATTGTGTACAAGTTATCTCAAACAATCTGATAATATGTAGGCGTTATGGAGGATTCAAGAAACAAAGCCAAAACCAACATGGCCAGATGAAGGTCGTGTAGAGATGAACGACTATGGTGTTCGCTACAGAGAGGACCTTGATTTAGTATTAAAAGGAATAACCAGTAAAATACTGCCCTGTGAAAAGGTAGGAACTGCTTATTGTATGCATTTTTGTCATTATTAGATATTTCTAGTTGCATGTATATGGTGTCAATATCCTATGTTTTGCTAGACTTGAATTGAAATAAATCAAACCTTTGCAATGCCACCTCTTTGTTTCATAATGTGGTTTTATATTTTAAGATTGCATATGATATTTAATTTGACAATGTTTTGCATTTGCATATTGAGTGTTACATGTATATAATGTTAAGTGTATGTTTGCATTCTAGTTTGCATTTCAAACTGTAAATTGAGTGCCGCTGATATGAATAATGTAGACGTAACGCTTTTATAGCATATTAAAGTTTAAGCTTGGCTTCCATGATGAACTTTTTAAGAATAAAATGCACGTTTAAATTTTGAAACAACAACACGCTTGGGATTTGAAAAAAAACTCATTTTCTGGCCTAACATCCTACACACGATTGTAGTATAAAAGTCAATTCTTCTTTTACTCTAAAATATTTTTATTTTTACTTGACTGAAGATTGGGATAGTTGGAAGGACTGGAGCAGGAAAGTCGTCATTGACAATGGCCCTCTTTAGAATACTTGAACCAGCACAAGGCAATATAATTATCGATGGTGTCGATATTTCCACAATTGGGCTTCACGATTTAAGATCAAAGATCACAATCATACCACAGGTGAGAGTTTATTATAAATAAGACCAGGAATCATCTGATGATCCATAATCATAATTTCAACTTTCATATTACTCCTCTCAGTAGCCAGCGTTCCACTACAGATATGCATGATATGATTTCTGATAAACATTTGTTAAATTATTTCCTAAAAAACTAAATTAGAAAGAAACTTGTGGTTAGAATCTCTCAGGCAAAGCAGACCTCATATGGATGTGACTTTTCTTTTTAAATTTCTTTAATTCATAAAAGCTTCTCGAGCTTCTTTGAGGTTAATTGTTTTGTAAGTTTTAAAATTTAGACTTTGATATTTCCTGATGAAGTTCAATTAAGAAAAATAAAAAAAAATACAAGCTTCGAGCGGAGAAAATTCATAAACTGTTGTTTTCATAATCACAACGATTATCTTGACGTTTTCCGTAGGCATACCTTATGAATTTCCTGCCAAGAACATGTTCATTTATTTAATGATATGGACATCATATTATTCCCGTTATCTATTTATACATAGGATCCAGTTCTTTTCTGTGGAAGCATCAGGATGAATTTGGACCCGTTTGACGTTTTCTCGACTGAAAACATTTGGAGAGCACTAGAACATGCCCATTTAAAAGATTTCGTCCAAGGACTGGAAGACGGTATGGATCACCAATGTTCTGAAGGCGGGGAAAACCTAAGGTACGACAACAATAATCTTTCAATGTTGGAACAGTTTTTACTTGAAAACAAACATGAATCAAATGCCTTATACTTTCTACAGGCGTAATTGATAAGCGGATGTTTAAAATTTCGTCAAAAGTTAAAGAAATATTCTATTAAGTCTTAATGTTCATTATATATTGCCTTTACATGATACTACCTTGTTTCATTAACACATGTTACAGTGTTGGTCAGCGCCAGTTGGTGTGCTTGGCAAGAGCCTTACTACGGAAGACAAAAATCTTGGTGCTAGATGAAGCAACTGCTGCCGTTGATTTAAAAACAGATGAACTTATACAAAACACAATTAGAACAGAGTTTGCTGATTGTACAGTATTGACCATAGCTCACAGATTAAACACAATTATGGATTACACCAGGTGAGGAATTTATAAGGATGCCCATTGATTGTTCACTTTTAATATGCATACATCAGCTCGAAGCGATATGAGAAGTTGCAGGATGATAACTAAATTTTTTGATTGTCAATACAGTAGAAATTAATTTAAATTCTATTATGAAAGTTTTATGAAATGAAAAAAAAAACTGTTATACTTAATATGTAACTGATCTTCAATCGTATCGTTTGATACTGTGTTACGTGCACCTGACACATGTCTTACCTATACACTTGATTCATGGTATTAAGTAAACACAAATATTTGAAAGCCACAAATGTTAACCAGTTGAGAGTATGAACCTTAAAAAGCTCTTAAACAAAGCTTTAAAGATTACCTTTGTCCAAATGATACACAACCTTAATTCTTTTGTTCGATTGATTAATAAATTTGAACTTTTCAGACACTATACCAATTTTGCTATAACTATGGAAAGCTTCGCCTTAAAATAAATGTATAAAAACTAATGAATACATTCCTGAGGGTCAGAATAGAATATAATGTTCCGTTAATAAACAAAATTAACACAACAATCTAGTATTTGCAAATGCAAGTCATTTTCGATGAAGCATTAACCACTGTATATACCGTTGTCACCGTTATCCCTTGACAAACGGTTTAACATCCATAAACAACGTAAATAAGTGTCATTTCAAAACTGGTATTTTATAAGTTTTATAATTCTTTTAATGGTTCAGTCGAGTGTAGGCTCTTTCTGTAAAAAAAAAACCTGTAATCAGATGTGTTTAAACTTATTTCTTCACGATTTGTTTTATCAGATATTCCTCGTACTATTCTTCTTTTCCTGTTATGATGGCATTATATT